TTAAAGTAATGATGACAGGCACTAAACGTCTGTTCTGTTACTATGTTACCACCATGTAATGAGCTTATTGCCAGTGAATAGGAGACGTTGCAAAACTTTGAAGTTCGAGCCGCTCGAGGGAGCAGACGCTCGGCTCCCTTCGGCCATCTCCCGCATCACTTCTTGAGCTATTCCTGGCGCGAACGAAAGCGCGAACGATTGCTCGAGCGAACGGCCGAATTGTAGAATTGAGCATGCCTATAGAGAGGATCTCGTACAAGATTTTGGAACTCCGAACGGAGAGATCCGATCCTCTCTATAACGTCTGGGGACGAGACTACGGAGTCCTGGCCGCCACAAAGCTCTCCCTTACATACTGACCCACTAGCACCGAGGATGCCCGGGAAGAGTCCTATCCCCATCACGGTGTTCACAGGTTTCCTTGGAGCAGGGAAAGTAAGCAGACAACTGCATCGAGTAGCTAGCCAGCTGATCTGATCCGCGGGCCTTGTCCGTTCTGACCAGACTTCGATCATCTTATCTCTGCTCCCCCAGCTACCGAAGGACTACAAGGTAGTCCTTCTGAAGAACGAGTTTGGAGATGTTGAAGGTCAGTTCCTTAGCACGGCATTCTATGTATCGGCCGACAAGTTCCTCCAGTGGATAGCCAACTGGCCAAACAGTCTCATCTCACGGCGGTCAGCGAGATTCTGAATGGCTGTATGTGAGCCGTCCTAGCCTGTCTTCCAAGAGATCTCTATCCAATCTTTATACTTCGATACAGGTGCTGCGTACTTGTTGGCCAGATGAAGACGGCTCTGCTGGAAATTCGCGGCACGTGTCAAATAGCTCTATATCGCACAGCCGTTAATCAATCGCTGCAGACAACTACTGGCCGGATCGCATTATAATTGAATGCTCGTTAGTATAGGTTCGCACCATATGTCAGATTCTATGGCTAAAGTTGATACTTTGCAGGGGATCAGCCTTTCCCGCGACCTTGGCATTCCAGATCAGAGAACTCGAGCGCGAAACACGCGGAGACTTCAAGCTCGATGCCATCGTGACAGTGATAGACGCCGAGAACTTTACGGGTTATGAAGACTCTTCTCCCACTTCCAAGATGCAGGCAAGTTATACTGACGTGATATTGATCGTAAGCATCTCTGCGCAGTTGTACTTAGTATTTGCGCTGATTCTAGGATACCATATAGAATAAATGGGAACACGTTTCGGAACGACAACTAGACATCCTAATAGACGAGCTCAACACCTTGAATGACCTTACACCAAAGATACGATGCCAGGGACGCAACGGTGTTGACCCTAATCTCATCTTCGGGCTGGACACGAAGCTATTCTCCGAAACCGACAAAGAGTTGACGCGGATTGATGGCACGCACAATGAAGAAGTGGAGACAGTCACTATCTACAAAGGTCCAGCGTCTGAGAAGCCTCATTCTCACCACGACCACGGTCGCGGCCACGATGACCAGAAGACGGAAGACGGCAACCTCGAGGAGACTGCGGTGGAACCAGTAAAAGAGGATATCCTGGTTGCAGCTCTCAATGAACTGTCGAAGGAAAGTGTATGGAGGGTCAAAGGTTTCGTCAGAGTCCCGGGCGGTACCAAAATACTGAACTGGGCCTTTGGACGGTTTGAGCTGACAGACTTGCAAGGAGGGAAATCGGAGGGTGCGGTCATCAGGCTCACCGCGATGGGGGAAAGAGGCGAAGTCAAACGAGCCATTCGCGAATTCGCAGCAGCGCTGGACGCAGAGCTGCTATAGGTGTATTCTTCATAACAAGTACAGGAACTACAGTAATACTTGCAGAACGCGAGGCACGTACCGCGTCTGCGAGTGCTTCTGTTCCCAGCCACCGCGGAGTAGGTCTAGGCCGATCAGAATTGAGACGCGCGATCGGGACAAACACGTGGGGGACGCTAATTATGCCCTCGCCCAACAATCACATGAATCCCCATGTTCTACCTAACCACCCATGATCTCCACCGTTCTCAAGTCTGGTGTGTCGGTCTCCTCGTCTTTCTGCGGCGCTCGCGCTCACCAATATGCTTGAATTTTTTGGGGACTGGAATGCAGCTAGCGCGTATTTCTATCTGCCCATCGACGAGGAGAACGATGCCTCAAGTTCGACGGTATCCAAGCAAATATCATGGAAGGAGGGCCAATCGGGAGACGTGAAAGGCTGCGCGCCATCTGACTCTGCTTCCGACGCGCGAGCACGCCCAACGTCGCGTAAGACGGCTGCGATAGACGACGTCCTGGCTCGGAATGATCTGTATGAGGTCCTCGGCATACCCAAATCCAAGGCAGTCGATAGACTGGCTCTACGTCGAGCTTATCTATTGAGAAGCAAAGAGTGCCATCCAGAGTATGCTGATTTTTGCACTATTGTCACGAGGATCTCCTGACCAGGATCGATCGCAGTAAATTCCCAAACAATCCTGAAGCCACTCGCGCTTTCCAGAAGGTTTGCATAGCATACGATGTTCTAAGCAAGCCCTCCTCGAAGCGAATATACGATTCGTGTCGGAGTCCTCAGGACTTCTTCAACGCACGTCCGCCGGGCTACTCTGAGCAAACCTTCCGAGGGGTGGTCATCGGCGTCTTTAATGACTTCTTGGACGGAGATCTGGAAATGGTCCGGACTCTGCTGAGTGAGTCCTGTGGGATTATATGTCATTCCTACGTCTGACACACATTTGCCAGGATCTGTCAATGATATTAATCCATCCCTACGATTAGGGGAGGAAACCGTGAACGCAGTTTTGTCGACCCTACACAATATACGCGAACGAGCTCTCAGTGCGTCTACCTGCCGTGCAAGTATTATGCTCCCGTTTGACGTCTGTGATAGCTTGCCGAACGTGTATCCTAGCTCTCCATGCTGAGCTTGGCCACCTTCTGGAAGTCCAACACGCCTTCCGCCAACTCTCCTATTTCGACCTCATGGGCCGGTCACGCCTTACTGTCCAATTAGCCCGCATTACCCTCAGCATGCCGATGGCCATCGAACGCGCCATACAAGAGCAAGCACTTCTTTCAGGTGCAGATATCAAGAATGAGAAAGCTCTGATCCCTCGACCGGTAGGGGCAGTGATCCGCAGCGTTGTCCTCGTCCTCGAGCGCTTGGAGCGCATCCTAAAGTAGTCATAGACTGTCATTTCCTTCATTTCTGCTCGTTTTACCGCTCGCTATCTCGATATGCTTATCTATTTCTCGCGTTCCCCCTTCTCAGGTACTGGGTATTTGGCTGCAACTTAGACTTACAACTAGAGATAATCATTTGTACTTTACGACAAGATACATTGAGACACGAAACGATACCGGGACATTATATTCGTACACACTGAACGTACAGACTTCCGGAACTTCAATAAAAAGGTGGACAAAAACTCACGAACGTCATCCTACGGCAGGAACCCATAAGGACGACAGGGAGTAACCTCATTAACAACGAACATATGATTGTCCACACCGCGCAACGCCCGCTCAAGATGGCCCCATGACGTAGGATTGCCCACCACGACCATCGTTCGCCTAGTCGAAGGAGACCGGCTGAGCAGCATGACCTAACCAGACTTAGGCTATTAATAACGCACCATGTTCATCCACATCTGACCCCCATGAGCCATATTACCACTGTCTTTCTCTTCCAGCATGTATGCATCATGCGTCTGCCCTCCGTAACTCCCCATGGGTTGAACAGCAGCGCTCGCCGCTGCCAGCAGTTCGTTAACGTCACCGTTGGCATTCACAGTGTTGCCTTGGCCGTTGTTTCCTATACTTTGCTGGTTGCCATCCATATAGAACGGGTAGAATAGATTGGGATTCATGTCGGCCAACTTCTTATCGGGCGGTGTGCTGGGTCCCATCTTCCCTGGAGGAGTATGGCTATGCGCCCCGTCGTTGCCACCGGAAGGTGGAGCGTATCCAGGTCCGCTGAAAGTCGTATGTGATACCTTGGGCGGCGAGTGTTGCGATTGCGATCCGTGGACACTGCCCGACGATGAGGTCGGCGACAAGATGCCAGAGTCGCTTTCCCAATCTTGCTCTGAGAGCAAGAACGGATGACTGGGTGGCCCGACTTGGTGAAGATTGACTTCCAAGACAGTCTCAGCAAGCTTGGCAATCAGCGGATGTCCACCTGTCATATCCTTGCGCTCCCAGCGCCAACGGAAGCGAGGCAGCATGTCCAAAGCCATCCATACGTCCTCCACAGCGATCTGACGCGAAAGACGGTCGCACTTGGACATATGCCCATATAAGATGACCATGGCGGCAATATGGAGAGGGATGGGAGAGACAAAGAAAGCGATGTCGGGGAAGCGAATGAGCTGATTGTGGACCACGATTATGTTGTGCGACGTAACGATGGCTGAACGAGTAGACCATGAACACATGGCGAAGATCAAGTGGACAAATCACATACCATCGACGAGAGCCTTGTATCGAGAGCGGTAATCCAATTCCTTGGAGGAGAACAACGCTCGCAGCAATAGGATCCTTGTGATCCCGACTTTCAATAGTGTTAAACCGATATCCTCGGTGATGTCTTGTACAAGCTTCACCCTCTTCTCAATAGGCCACTCGTCAGTTCCTCCGAAATACCATTGATAATTGTCAGGCAGCTGCTTCCTGAATTCAACCATACTTTTGATGATCCGGGTGGCATGCCTAACAATGGCATCGGGAGCGCTCTGCCGTGTGGGCGAATAAAGGGAATTGATGATGTCGGCCTGAATCTCCGCGACAGGCCCTGATAGAATGAAGTGCTCGGACGCGTCAGCCAGCGTCCTACCCCGCGTAGGTCGGGGCGTGTTCGAGTCTGAAGGGGAAATACCGAGAGGACGTCCAAGCATTAGTGACGTTCCACGATCGTGTATGATCACTGTCGCCCACAGGCAAATACGAAGCTGAGCTTCCTCTTCAGTAAACGTCTGCCCCTGGGTGGTCGGATCATGATGCAATCCAAGCTCGATAGCGAGGCGGACCATGCTCCCTACCAGCCGCCATAAAGTACGCCCTTGACCCTGCAGACTCACGAGTAAGTCAACGTTCTGTCATAAGAGGTGGTAGTACGTACTTCAGCGAACAAATACCACTGAAGCAGAATAAGAGCTTGCAGACTGGACAAAGTAACGCGGAACTCAGGCTTCGTCACGAGCGACCGCTCGAAGAACTCCTCGGGCTCGGGCCAATCTTGAGGCATTAGCTTCTTCTTGATCGTGGGGCTTGTGTTGCCAACACCCTCCTTGTCAAGATCACAGACCCTGTGACTCAGCTCGCTCAATGTGCCAAGGGCCAGCATAAGGTACAAGCTGGAGATATACCCCGGGTCATGCTGGAGGACTCGACGGTCATACAACTGATCGAGGGTGTTTTCGAAGTCCTGACGGATGAAGACAGGCCGATGGGGGTTTAGTCGGGTGAAGTAAACGTTAACGATGTGCTTGACCATATTCCGGTCTTTGGGCAACCAAACGGGAACATTGTTGGGAGCTGCGGAGGAGACGGACGCACTGGGGGATGTAGCCACGACGCTATTACGACGCACAGGCACAGACACCCACTTGGCAGTGTCCCGGGGCACGGAAGAGTCTATGACTTGATCTCGGCCCGACAGCAGTCCATTTGCGCCCACCGCCAAATCCTCCTTCAGATCTCCGACGCCCATGCTGGGATTCAGTTTGATCTCATTCACTAAAGCAGCGGAGACACCGAAACTCTTGGCCAATGCCTGCGTACTTGACATGTCGTTGGATTGGGGATCTTGTCCTTTGATATTGTCTGTACTCGATGACGCTGGGCGCACTTGAGCGTTCTGAGCAGGTGCGTTCTGGCCATTATGGATCTGCGGAGGGGCAGATTGGAAAGCGGGATGGATGTGAGGGTTGTAACCGGGAGGGGCGGGGGGCTGCATACTCCCCATGTGGGGCGGCGGTGGGTAAGGAGATCCAGGCGGCGGAGGAGCGCCTGTATACACCGGCATTGGGTAGCCTGGGGGGACCATGTGCTGAGGCGGAGGGTAAGGGTAACCTTTGGGTCCTTGCGGGCTGGTCCCAGGGGGCGGGGCATTCTGATACGGTGGCCTGCTGGGACCTGCCTCCATAAACTGGAAATTTGGAGACATAACCGTGGGCGGAGGCTGCATTTGATCCACTTGAATTCCCTCCCGAGCGCATATTTCGTCGAGATTGCTGAGGTCGAAACCAGGCATACGACGTCTGAGGAGCGCCTCACACTGCATCAACTGACGCTCGACGCGCTCGACGTGGCCTCGCGGCGTCAGCGTCTGGCGATGTCGGTCCTCTTGCTGGCATGGAACACCGGCTGTTGCACAAGCGGTACATCTCGGATGCTTAGAGTCGCACTACAACAAGTATCAGCGCACGACGTCGAGGACGGGGATTTGCCGTCGGTGTCGCCCGACGGGACTTGCCTTAATTTTCTTCTGCCTACATCTGGCGCACGCTTCATGGGACCGCCGCAACCGCCTAGGCTCCGCCTGCGTCGGTGCATCCTGTCCGTCCGCCTTCTTGCGCTTTCGCGGCGGAGGCACCGACTCCTGTTGCTGCTGCGGTGGAGGTGGTGGTTGTTGCATCGCTTGTTGATTGGGGTCGATCTGAAGGGCTGATTGCAACGACGATTGGGCTAGATCAAGGTTAGGATGTGGAGGCAGGATATGGGTCATATCTGCAGAGCGAGACAGCGACCGATGGTGTTTATCGTCGCGGACAACGTTCTGCGCGTCTGCAAACTTGCTGTCGCCGAGGCGCTGACTGTTCTTGCAGGTTTACCCGGCAAATGCCGATGTCACGGGTGTCACGGTCACAGTATGTCCTATATTCGTCCGTCCACTTGGACAGTCCTTCGTCTCTTGGATCAACCAGCGGTAGTGTCTGTCGACTGCATATCCGATTTTATATCTAGCTGTGCCCACTCCGTACTCGTGAATGATAAATCAAAGCTATTCTGACTTGCTCCTTCACCTGACAGTTGGAGAACGTCCGCGACACTCTCTTGCACCCAACTTTCTGGTGTCAAATGGACCCACCTAATGGCAATTTAATGATAGGATTCTTCTCTGGAACAATGAGGCAAGACTCCATTTGGAAAGTTGCGATACCTCACTCCGAGGTGCCTGGTCACTTTGTAAATGTGATGCATCATACATGCTGCAGCCACCAGGGGTATCTATGTAGGCACCTGCTGTATAGCCCATAGAACTGACAGCCTTGTGACTCCTTGATGCTACAGACTGCACCGAGTTTGCCTTATGAGCCCATATTCCTGAGGAGTCAGTAACAAAGCAAAGCATATACACTTCACTCCAAGTAACTACATTGGGCACAGGATACAGTGGCAGACAAAAGTATCTGCACTGCTGCATCTTCAGGGGAAAAGCAGCTGTCTTTGTCTCGTAGCTTACACTTTCATTCCAGAAATTGTATGTACATGAAGATAGTCTAATATACTACCTTAGACACCAATTTTATGGGGTGGCAGCTTGGAGGATTGTGAGCCAGGGAGTCATTATGCCTTGATGTGTGACAAGAGGGACTGTCACAGCGCTGTTTCTGTCGACAACCGACGGAATCCTACCCTCAACTTGACTCCCGGGCCCCTGCCCGAACTTTGCTCGCATACAGACTCTCTATGACCTATACATCACCGTCCAAATGTGGCAGGATCATCAACTCTGGGTGCAAAGCCGATGACATTGCAAAGCGGTTCAGCATCTCAAAGCAGGCTGTGTTCGACATCGTCAAACGTTACAAGACTACTGGGAGTTGCTATCCCCATCCCAAATCAGGCCGTCCGAGGAAGCTCACACCCCAGGACCGCAAATTTGCTGCCCAGTTGCTTGACAGAGGCCAGTGCCATAATGCTGTCAACCTGTGGGACAACTACTTCAAACATGTCACTGCCCGGTGATATGCACAGACACACAACAATCACCAAGGACCAAAAGAAAATAAACCTAACACCAGCGGTATGGGTGGAGGCGGTCCGAGACAACTGAGGGGTATTTTAATAGTTCGAGGGGGAAGGAGGAGTAAGACGATGTAGGGTAGTCTGTAGGAAGACCTAGAAGAATGAAACAGACACTTTGAGGCCTGAAACAAACGCTAGTTGACGCTCCGGAGTATTTATCTCTGAAAAGCCGCAATCAAAGTCACAAGCGACAACACCTGTCGTAGGATCGTGCTCGCGGGGGTAGACATTGCTAGAGAGACTTGGTTAATTTTATTTCGCTATGTAGGACACACCGGAGATAATTAAACCGACGGTGGAGATAAATCACTTGACCAGTCAGGCCTATTGGCAAAGCTAGGATCAGTTATAATTTGCTAAGTTCGACACTTTCGAACTTCGAGGGTCACTGAGATTGTAACGCTAATTCTCTGAGATGGTGAAGTGCAAAACTTGTTTTTCTGTACGCTACTTTGTACAATTTATACTACAGGAATGGCTTTGCGACCGTCCGGAGATAAATAACAAATAAACACCGCTACCCACAGGATTGCTCAGCACTTGCCTCCGTTATACCATACACCATACGACTCCCTTGCGCTCCCACTTGCTCGTCCAAACCCCTATAGGTCACCTCGACGCTCCGCCACCTGACCCAGGCAGTCCCATCACTCCGTGCGACGTGCTGGTCACGTGCTAATTACCTCCGGCCGCTTGCTGACTGATGCTGACCTCATGGTGACTCGTATATGTCCGCACCCTCGGTATCTTGATGGAAACGAGGGGGAGTGAGTGCTGGAGGGTGGTCATGAGGACGATGCCCCTCGATAGAAGTGTACGCGGGCCCCGGGGCTAACTCATCTAGAAGTTGCATAGGTTAAGTCACCCCGGAGCTCGCGTTTGCGGAGATAAATCGCGGAATGGGTCTGTGTACGTCTCGGGGATGCTAGGAAGTCCGGAGCTAAATAGAAAAATTCTTTTAGAGCCCATAGAAGCCTCGAGGTGTGTGAGCGCTGTGTCGAATAAGCTCCGGAGGGCTTGTACAATGTGCTGAGTCCGCGTTTTCGGGGGTCAGATGATCCTGAGGCTTATCATCAACCTGGGTGATCATGTGTTGTGTCATCCTCGTCAGTTTGAATCTACCAGGCCTCCTCATGCCAAAGAGTGTACCCCAACTCCATTGACAAACAAGCAGAAGAGATTGAGGATTATCCTTGACAGTCTGGGCATGTATTCCATGATGAAGCTGCTGCAAACGATGGAAAGAGGAGCTAAGACATGTAGTCTGGGGATCGCTGCTCTCAAGCTGTCTTCAGGGAGCCATATGCCATTCCATTTCACTTGCCATTTAACAATTATTCTGTCTGACATGTAACCTGCCAATGGTGATCCAACTGGGTGTCGCCTGAGATCACCAGCCTTAGAATGGCATACAGGAGACTACCCAAACCCACCGAAAGGAAGAAAGCACTGATAACAGCCTCATTTTTTATGTTGTAATGTGCACCCTTTGTCAGACAACCCATCAACAGAGGACAAACTCTGGAAGTCTGGAAGAGGAATTCTCACAATTGTATATGATAAGGGAATTAAAAGGACTGGACACAGTCAAACTTCAAACCCTCAATTGAACGGAGGAAGGACTAACCAAAATCCGTAATCAATGTGAATGCGCAAGCCAAAGTCTACACCTCTCCACAACCATAATATTTGGAGACCTGAGATAGCCTAGGGAGCTGAGCGAATTCAACCATACCCACTTGCATTTTGGAGTAGTGCAAACTTCATCCTGCAAACAGTTTTCAAGGCCTCTGGTACCAGCTTGGGCCATTTCTGGCAAGAAGGCATACATGAATGCAAAGGCTAAAATGGCACTCAGAAATAAGGCATGTTGCATAGCTTGCCAGGAGGCATAATAGGCCACTACACCACCGCACAGGGGAGACACCGCTGCACCAAGGCAACATGCCTGCATGAGCGATCAATTTGGGTGACCATGTCATTCAAGAAAGAGGACATAGTATGCACCGCGAAGAACACCCCCATTGTGGCACCACACATGTCACCAATCACCGCAGCTCCGACGGCCATACCAGCAGATGCTGCAAAAGTTTGCAGCATTCGCCACACAATCAGCTCAGGAACACTTCTAGCAACTGCTACGCCCAGCGACAAGAAGCCAAGTAGCGGGAGTGGATAGTCATCAGGAAAACTGCATTCTGCCCTGACAGGTACTGACAGACCTTCATCAGGGCTTATCAGGGCATTAGTTGTCAGAAGATGTTCTTGACCCTGTCAGGTCAAGTTTTGTGAGGACTGGCCTGCCGCAAGGAGGCATCTGTCTGAGGGAGTGAGTATCTAGACTTCAGGTATACTGATATAACTTCTGTTTTACCACCCTAGTTGGCCATTGGAGCATAACTAGTGTTCAGTAATGGGGCACAAAAAGGGCCCAAATTCTGTCAGGGCTGTCAGTCCATCAGGAATGTGCAATTTACCTGATGCTAGATCAGAATGGGTCTCCATCCATCTAAGAAAACTCCAAGTTCAGTTGATGCTGCACTGGTGAATGACTGTTCTTACAGAAGCTCGAGTAACTAGGTTTCCGAAGGCAAGCATAAGCAAGGCAAAGCTTATGGATATACTGCAAGGACTGGTTGGCTGGGATTCATAAGGATATTCAATAATCTTACTCTATGACAGAGCCTGTTGACTTCAACTCCTCAGCGATCTGAGGAACACTCAGCACGAATGACTCAATTACAAGAACTAAGTAGAGAGCTGCCCAGAGGGGCTCGCTGGACATGGATGACAGGGTAATTCCGCACAGGTAACAGTCCCAACCATGATACTAGAGCCAGGATAACTCGTTTCTTTCCTGGGGTAAAACACTTATAAATGTCATCCGATTCAGGCTGTATGTCAGGATCTTCAGCCGGATAGATTAGAGGTGCTTCCTCGTTGGCTATCATGACCTGGAGTCGAGAGAGAATAGAGATAGCAGGGAGAACAATTACTAAGGGTAATGGGCGCAGATTGACTACCGAAGCCACTTACTACTATTCAACTGGAATGCCAGTGACTCAAGATGGGCGTGTGCGGTGCCGGTCCTTTGGATCTGACTCACGACCTGATAATTTCAATAATGGCGCTTGATCTGAGGTTGCTGTAGGTTCTTAGAGCGAGCGGACCGCGCGTCACCACTCAGGCTGGCGCAGTCGCTCCGGCGCTTGAATGTCACGCTCTGCGTTCTCGAGCCACCCCCACTTTTCCAGCGCAATTCGCACCTGCTCTTCAAAAATCGCGATACCTTACTGAGTAATCAGAGAATGGATAGACTCGTACACCGAGACACGGGGAAAATGGATAGCAGATGCGCACAGGTCGCGTCAACGGTCGGAGGCGCGTCCGAGTCGCGTGTGCGTCGTGAGAACGCGTCCGTCACGGCGTGACTCGGCGCAACGTCTTGGCCTGCCGATCATTCCCCTGATGGTCGCTGGACAGACAGTCTGTAGTGAACATGCCGTATGCTCTGAGCGGCATAAAATACGAGGCTCGTGGAGGAGAGCCGCCAGAAGCGCTTCCGTTTCTTTTCCTACCACCGTCCGTGTTTTCTCTGGGTACTTGAAGCAATCATGTTCAAGTTGGGGGCACTGTGTCTTGCCGCTTCTTCACTCGTTTTAGAAGCCCACTGTGAGCTCAGGGGGTCCCAAGCCTGGCAAACCTGATCGTCTAACTCACGGATAGCTTTCATCGTTTTGAACCCTTCCCCGACCCTGCACTGGATCTCCAACAAGTAAGCAGCAACTGTTCCAACATCTCCTCCCAATTGTAACGGTGTTCATTCATGTACCAGCACGAATAGCAGTGGCATAGCCTACTCCGGGACGAACTATCTCCGCTTCCTCCGTAACGAAACGGATCCCGACGACGTGCTGATAAACGCGGTACTCGTCAACAGCACCGGCAGTCCTCTCCAACACTGGGCAGACATCTCAGACGGCGTCATCAGGGGTCCTCCTGGTATCTATTACTCAGATATCATATCTCCTGGTGCATGGGATGTATTTGTCGGCCAGACCGCGACCACGTCAGTCCCCATACACTGGCATTTATTCATACTGAGCCTTTCTCTGTGTAATCCTAGCGGCGAGTACACTATAGCCCTCGTAAACGCTACTGCTTGGGCCGCCAGTCATAGCCTGGGGCTCGACCCGAGCGTCGTGAGTCGCTCAGGCCCTAATTGTGAAGACGGGAAGCGACGCTAACTCATCCCAGGTATTCTATCAATCTCCCAAGTTCAACGTCTACGAGGCCCCCGCGACCACCGTGCAGCCCGCAAACAACTGCAGCCTCGCGGGGGGATCCCCCGTCTGGAACGCGTCCGCTACCGTCGAGTCCGTCGACACTACCTCGCAATGCCCTCCTGAGGTCCTGGCTACTCTGACTGCCTCCTCGTCTTCATCTGCGACTGGGTCCCCGACAGGCGGAAGTGCCGCTTCAAAGCCTTCGGGCGCGGCGAGCTCCGGTGAACGACTGGTCTTCGGATTCACTAGTATTACGTTAGCTGGTGTGATCAGCTTGGGCGCGTTGCTCGCGCTTTGACAGGAGCCTGATGTTCCTATGAGAGCTATGATGCGCTGCATGATCTTACGTCCCTTGCGAGAGAATCCCTCCCCTACTGTAAGTGATCAGGGCGAACAGTAGGTGCGTATCACCTTCCACCAACCGCCGTACTGCATACGACTGTCATAACCCTACCTGAGATAGCCCTTATTCCGCGATAGAGCGACAGCCACCTAGAAGTAAACTTTCCCTCGTAGCTGAGCTTCCATAGCATATGACTAAATACAACGACGGAGTGAACCTAGATACAAAAGGAAATCTACACCTTCAGCGACAGCCATCAAAAGATTGTGGCAACAATAAATAATAACGCAACATATCCAGGATGGACGGAAGCACGGGATAGATGAAAGAGGGGACGGCGGAATTAATGATACAATGGCAGTGTCCTTACTGAATACATCATGGATCTATGACTTTGCAGCTTCGCCTTCCTTCTGCTTGGGAGCAATGGCAGGGCCTGCTTCAAGAATGATATCTTCCTCCACTTCATCTCCATCCAAGAATTCGGCATCGCTGTCCGAGTCTGGTAAGAGTACGAGTTTACCGGATGATTTGCCCTTGTTCGCTGCGCTCGGCGGGCCCTGTGCAAGGATGATATCGTCCCCTGGAAGAGAAATAGCGCCGACTTCTTCCTCGTGCTCTGCCTCCGCGACTTCCTGCAGCTCCTTACGGAAGAAGTACCGCAGGCCAACAGGGATCAGAACACCAGCAACAATGGTTGCTAGCAGGAAGAAGTTCTTCCAGGAGATGAGGTGGAAGTCCTTCGAGCTGGTCATCTGATCGAGGCCGCCGCCAATTGTCGTGTGAATGACGGTGACACCGAAGATGCCCAGCCATGAGCTGACCCAAAACAGGGGCAAGCCAATGCCCAGGTGCGGACAGAGAACGTTGACAACCCAGTGCGGTGGGAGGGGCGCAATGCGGAGCACAATCAGGAAGGATAGAAGATTGGCACGTTGTGATGCGAGCTTCTCGGAGAACGACTCAAGACGAGCGGCGAACTTGGGAAGGGTGAGGAGGGCAGGGCCGAACGCGGCGGAGATCAGGTAGCAGAGCGATGCGCCGGTGGCTACGCACGTGCAAGCTAGCGGGAGGGCTATGGGGACACCCCACATTGCACCTCCAAGAATGGAGAGATACATAGAGCCAGGCAGAGAAAACGCTTGGACGCTAAAAATATTCTTAGGGCATCGTGAGAGGAGCAGACAGCACTGAGCTTACAAGAGGTATGTTGTCACGAAGCAGACAACGATGCGGAAAGGGTAGATGTCACGATATTTCTTGAGGAGCTCATTCAGTGCTTGCAACTGTTCGAAGGATTTAGGTATTCTTAGAGTGGGGCGATCCTCTCTGAGAGGGCCGTGAGGGTAAGTCATGGAGATGCAACCGCAGCACTCACTCATCTAATGGAGGCAGTGCCAACCACAAGGTCCCGCCCAACACCAAGGTGCTGACAACAAACACTAGTGCCATCTTAATGGCAGCATTGACTAGCAGCCTGCGCGACGAGGGCTGGTGCCCTGCGGCAGAGGGAAAAGTGGTGCCATAGGCATTCAAGTTATTCTGGTTCTCCGCGAGAAGGGGGGACTGGTCGGAAGGAGCGGGTGAAGTTGGTCGGTCGTCGAGGTGGACGGTGGCCAGCGTATATGCCGAGGCATTCGAGTGATGGGTACCGTGGCTGGCGGAGAGCGAGGGGGCTGCGGGGACAGACATGGACGCGAGAAAGGATAGCGCGACTCAGCCTCGGGCGATTCGTAACTGGAGCCGTGTCCGCCGTTTCCCATGACGCCGCCATTCCGCCCACGTGGCTACTCTCCGTATTGACTCCGGCTCGAGAAGGAAGACAGCCACAACTTGAAACGTGCCCCGGTGGAGGTTAAACAGCATGCGACATAGAGCATGCGCAGGCTGGTGTGCGTGGTCTGCTCTATCCAGTTTATGGATTACAACCCATATCTTTGCCCGTCTCCACATCACTCCCTACAGTTAACGCGAAGTTGCTATAATCACGAGTCATATTACCTATGTACATGCAGCTAAAGGCCACCATAGTCAGCCAGAGTGTCCTTGACCGTCTTCTTCAGGGTCTTGTAATTCAAGCCGAGGATTCGCCTCTCCTTTGTCGCGTCGAACGTAGTATTCCGGACCTTGGTACCTCCAGGGACCCCCTTCGCAGGTAGCACTGGCTATATCGACTAGAGCAAAGGGATGGATCAGGTACGGCAGTGAACAGTGAGTCCAGAGACCTCAGATCCTTCCACGCAAAGCTCTTATACTAGTAGCCGACTAAGTATAACACTTTCCTCACCAGCATCTGGCACCTCGAGAGACCAGATATGCGCCTCTGCACAGTCGCGGACGTCAATTATATCGCGGCTAGTAGCAGTTAGAGGGATCTGTACTCCAAAATACCCCTCGCACGACGGCACCATAGAAGATCTTGGACGATGAATCCAAGCCCTCCGGGGTTGTGACCTCGTGAACGAGCGGCTGGTTGATAAAGTGGCATAATATTGATTAGTGAGCCTAGAAGAAGTCTGAGGTAAGTGCGCTACTGACGCCCACTATCAACGGAGGGGTGAGGCTAGTGATGTCCCAAGGGATCTCTGATTTGGGCTCCTCGTAAAATTCCCAAACAGCTGCCAGTTCAGTGAATCCCCATCCGCAGTGGAACACTTGCGGAATATTGACCTTTCTCCGTCAAGACCTTTCATGCGGCGTACTTAGCCAGGGCGGTGGGTCCTTTCCCTTCTCTGCACATTCCTTGACGGCCGCCTCGTTCCATGAGTCCTCGCGACGATGACAGGACCCTTTGAAACACCTATGCAGGACCGCCACCAATGATGACGTGAAGACAACGCTCTTGACACCTTGCCTGTAAAGAACGGGAGTCAGCTTCGTCATCCCTCACGCGCGAGATCATAACTCACACCCATTCTTCACTCGCCCATTCTTCAATGCGGCATTGAGGATCCCGACGGTCCCCTTCACGGCGGGAGTGAGGATATCTGCTCAGAGGTTCGTTCTGTGAGATTTTGTTCTCTACTTCCATTGTCAACGAGGACGCGGAATGGATGATGTCATCTACGCCTTTCACCGCTTCATCGAAAGCGCCATCCTGGATGCAGATCGTAACCGTTAACCAGTGGGCTGCATAAAAGAGTCTCGCATACCCTTGTCATATCGCCGGCGGCGTATATCTGCAACCTATTTCCATGTGCTTTGTTTGCGGCCGGTAAGTGCTGCCCCTTCGATTCACTCCGCACCGCAGCTCGCGATCGTACTGAATATCCTGGTTCCATGAGCTCCGAGGAATCCGCTGGCGCCTGTCACGAGGATGGTAACATTCATGTCAAGAAGGGCGGGCATTCGGTGCATTGTATACCGATGGCAATGCGTGCTGGATTTTATAGTAGCTTGATGAGTTCTTTCCGAATGTCCCAGCCGCATGCTTTACTAAGCGTGTCCGCACGTATTGATGAGTTGGTAGACTTCAACGGTACTGTCCATAATGTCTTAGCCTAGTATCTATGGTGGAAATGCGACTCCTTAGGTTCAAGATTCGTTCCAATGCACCATTACATTGACTCACCAACAAGTGACCCTAACCCGAAAGGACATGGTTCAAATACTACCTGAGTAAGATCATTGAAGAGGGTCCGTCAATAGGATACTAGTCTGCAGTACCGCATCTGCCATGGATATTAATCCATTCATATGCATCGACGGTCACCAGGACAGAGTGCCATGGTACTTGTAGCCGCATTTGGTGTATGTATTACCGCTTTGGGCGTTTCTCAAGATCACCTCCGATGTTCACGGCTATACGACAGCGTCCAGGATTCGGACACGATAGCGACCCGGAGTAACACGAGCAGGTAAGCCTGTGACCCTGTGATGCACGTCGGTGGACTTCACTCATGATACATGACTCCCCAGATGAGTCATGCCTCTTAGTGATGGATGGAAAGAGATGTTAAGATCCGACCGCGCATGCACATAGTTGCTAAATTCACGGGCGCGGAATAAGCACGAAAACGCAGCGGAATACTTGGGATGGATTGTTTCCAGCGCCTGAGTATTTCCCCGCTCAAGAGGCCCCATACGCCCGTCGAGCACATCAGCCAATTCCGAACTTAAGGAAGTGTTAGCGCTAGCTGCAGAAACGGAGTAGTCTTATGATCCACACGAGCCCACAAGGTATCCTCGAGGTTCAGGCCTCAGGATTCGCTGCTATTCGAAACAAGAGCCTCCCGGGACTCCGGCCCTGGCTTCCTGGTATGACCACTTCAGGCCAGTCGCCAGTCGACCATAGGAGACAGGTAGGAACCTTGAGGGTGGGTAGAGTGATACCAGCCTTATGTCGACCAATCTTGTTTACCCAAAACGAAGAGAGAGGTTGCCAAAAGAGATTACCGGTCGCAGTGGGGGTGGCCGCGGACTTAGAGAGACACGGTGATCAACCTTGTGACCCCTGTCGGAGGATATCAGTCGACTGTCCTTTGCATTATGGTCGGATTTCAGAGGACGCCAGCGTCGTGGGGCGATGGGGTCACGTCGGCAGCGCAGCGTTTGGTGCAGTGGGTCGAAGCAGTAAATATGCAAGTGTGGGGGCCACGTGGCTCAGATGGGAGCAATTTGGCGTTGTGGAGAACAACAGAGTGGGAGTGTACCTGTGGCTGGTGCGAAGGAAATTTTCATTGTGGCGGTAGAAACGTTCTGAAGTACCGCTCGCGCTACAAAATGTAAGTTGAAAGGCCATGACTAGCATGAAACTGCGGGCTCGCAGTCAGAGGAGGAACCGGAACAAACAGTACCAGTCATCGTCAAAATATGGTCGAAACAAACCCGACCAGGATCGCTGTGAGACACTCGAACAAACCGTTCGACGGGATACTATTATACGCTGTTGTACGAGCAGGCATAGCAACAAAATAAAGGCATTCCAGACAACAAAGCTTTTGAAGGTGAATGCTCCGGCGCCCAAACGAGCGAAGCAGGTCCGTCGTGTTGGAACTCCGCCACAGTGCAGTGCGTACGCAGGGTGCTTACTCGCCCCAGCGCCTTCCCACATCCCACCACCTCGTCGCCGCCGCCTCCGGTCCTCTCCCCGCCGTTGTCCATACTTCCCTGTACCATCTCTACTCCTGGGCTGTGAGCGCGCCTCTGATCGTTGTCGTCGGTGTAATCCCGCCGTTTACCTTGTGCGGCCATTCGCCGCCTCGGTTCCCACCCTTCTGCTATCTCCTCCAGGGCTGCAGCCATGGCCGATCGTGTACCACAGTTCAATATGATGCCCTCAAATTTCAACCCTGGGCTGGCTCAGCATGCTCAGTTAGCCCAGCAGGGCCAGCATCAAGGCCATCCCGACTCGCAGCCACTTGGCGGTGCGATGACTCCAGAACAGGCGCGAATGTGGCAGTTTCTCTCTCAGCAACAACGTGCGCAGGGAGGTGGAGAGGCCATGGGCCAGGTTAATCCTCAGATGAATCAACAGGTACGTGTCCGTTGTCCGTTCGATCGTACTTCTGGTCGGGGCGCGTTGAATCCAGTCACGGTCTCTTGACCATAGCCTGTATTCCGCCTCATGATCTCCTGAGTACATCCTCAGCCGTACTGACTCCCTATGGTATCATATCATGGCTGACTGTTCTTCCCTCGCTTTAGATGTTCGACTTCATGAGGAGTAATAACATGGCCCGTGCACCAGGCCAGCAACAGATGGGCCAACCCCAGCAGCCGCTGGGCATGGGGCCCTCGCAGATGAATCCAGCTCAGCAGCAGTTTCGCGATCTGCAGAATGCTTCGCAGCAAATGCATAACGCTTTCAACCCCAATTTCATGAACGCGGGGCCCTCCAATGGTCAGCAGTTTCCACCCAACCACCCGCAAGCACAACAGTCGGCACAGGCGGCAATAAATCGTAACAATCTCCTAGCGCAGATGGCAAGCGGCCAAATGCGGCAGCTGGAAATGATCGGTCTGGCCCAGAATCAGCAACCGCAGAATGGACCGGCTGGAATGGCCGCGCGGATAGCTCACCAGCAACAGTTCCAGCAGATGTTGCAGCAAACGCAACAGAACGGTGGTGCGAGCATCTCGCTGCCACAGAACCAGCTCGCTCAGGGGACATTCTTCCCGCATCCCAGCATGACGCCTGTCACTGATAATAGGCCAAACCATTCGCCTCAGGTTGCGTCTCAACTACCGGTGTCGATGGCGTCACAGCAACAACCTCAGCACATCGAAGCACAACAACATCCCCAGCGACCACCTCAAGCCGGTGGTCTTCCCGCCCAGCAGGTATCACCCGAACAACTGAAGAATACTTTCAATCAGATGCGGCAAATGGCCAGAAACGAGATCGAAGCATTGTCAAATGAAATACAGCGACTACAGCACGTTCATCCAAAGACGTCGGACATTCAGTTACGTATGGTGGCCTTGGGCCGGCAGGTAGACGAGAAGAAAAATAAGGCGGCCCAGCTGGATAGAGCAATAATGGATATTACCAACAATCCCGGCAAGGCGATGCTCTTTCAGCCCAGGAATAACGCTGGTCCTAGCGCGTGAGTCGTTTGACATTCTATAGCGCCAGGTAGAACTCATACCGTGTGTAGTCCTATGAATGGCGGAGTTGGGATCAATTCCGCCGCTGGTCCTACGTCTGTCAGTACACCGATGCCTGGTCAACGGCCCGGCACTACAGGACCACCGCAGCAAAACCAGCCTATGTGGCCCGGGCAGCAGAACATGATGGCCGGGTCTCTTTCCAACGGTCAACTCCCTCATGGTTCGCCTTCGGTTGCCCAGCAGTTGCCTGCTCAATTCAACAATTCCCAAGGCAATCTCCCTCAAAACGTTCAGCAGCCAGGGATGCCCCAGACGTCGAACATGGTCATGCAGCGTTCGGTATCCGCACAAGGGCCTGTCGGGTTGACACAACGGCCTCCTGTCAATCCTTCAGCCATGAACAACCTTGGGCAACCTCCGGTGACTAAGTCGGATGGGTCTTCTGAAACACCCCAAAACTTCCTGCAGCTGCTCAGTACTTTACCGCCAGCATTGCGCGCTCGTGTCCAGTTCCCGATCGCACCTCTTGAGACTCAGAAATTCCGTGATACGTATGGGAACTTTTGCCAGAGAAGAGGGGTTACTCTGGACGAGCGAGCCTTGAATATCAGCGATCGGAGCATTGACTTGCATGCTTTGCATTCGGAGGTTACTAAGGAAGGTGGCTATACTAACGTACGAACAACTTTACCTTATAGTTCTGAGTATAAGCTGACAACCATGGTATTATAGGTGACCCGCAAGGATCTATGGGCAGTCATTGGGGCGCGCATGGGGTTTGTTCATTTCCATGCCAACGGACAGGAACCTGCCAAAGCTAGTTCAAATGTCGCTCAGCATCTGTCTCACGTCTACCGACAGTATCTGAAAGATTTCGATGACCTCTACGTACAGACTATACTATCTTCTAGAATCAAGCAGTTTGGCAATCCGAACGCCGTATCTGGGAACAACCAGCCTTTACGAGCTCCTGGGGCTGCTCCGAATGCCCTTCCTGGACATTTACCTCCTACGAATCCTAATCGACCCAACGCCCAGCAGCTAGCCGCTATGATGAGCTATGCGCGTCTCTCTGTCGCCGAAATGCGTGCCCGCGGCTTGCCCGACCATGTCATCAATCTTGTGGAGCAAAATCGCCCTATGCTTATGCAGCAGGCCCAACAACATGAGCAATTCCGGGGGTCGTTGCTCAGGCCGAGTCAACCGGGCATGCCTTCGAACGGTGTTCCACCGAATATGCAGCAGAGAGTTCCGTCTGCCGGACCGGGGCAGCTTAGCCAGGGTCAAAATCTTGCCCTCGGCAACAACGGGCAGAATGGAGCAAGACCGGGCCCGCCACAAGGTCACGCTTCGACGCCTGGGATGCCTGGTATGGATGGCTCGAATCATGCTGCACTCAAAGCAGGCTTGGGTCCTATGAACGGTGCTCCTCCGCTAGCTCATATGCAACCGTCTCAGGGCGCGGGTTCTCAGAGGCCTACTGAGGAGCAGTTGCGCGATTCGATGAGGAAGATAGACGAGCTCAGAAAGTCCATTCAGCAGAATGGTATAGCATTTTCTCCATCGTATAACGTTGTTGCTTACCATCGGTTTTCAGCGCCGATGAATTCAGTCATCCTCCCCGAAGAGCATAGACAGCCATACCGGGCATTATTCGATAGGATGTGTCAAATGTGCGATCAGCTCGAGCCACGATTACCGTTCATTCACGCCGCTGTCCCCCAAGACGAGCTGGTTATGAAGCTCTTGACTATCGTAAGTCACATGTGTTCTGTCTCTCTTTCGCTCTGGGGGCTTACGTTGTTTCTGTGAAGTTCCGCGTCAAGGAGGTTCAGAAAGCTGCTTTCTCGTCGGCGAGCCCCAGGTTCTTGTTTCCGCTCGAAAGAATGGGACACATGGCCCACTTTGTCCAGAGCGCTTACACGCATTTTATCTCGCCTGTGAATGCAGACAACCGAGGATCGGGACCGCCTGGTGGTCCTCGTGGCCCTCCTCCAATCCAATCAGCTGGATCCCCTCAGCCGCCCATGTCGACAACCCCGGTACCGGTGGGTGGCGTTTCCCCTCGTCCACAGCCTGTGCCGCCGGCACCGTCAGGAACACCGGCCAGAAAGAAGATCGTACCTCCTGCGTCAAATGTATCTGCCACTTCTCCTGCTCCTCCCGCGTCTGCTTCTACACCTGGCGCTTCCGCTGCCACGCCTATAACTATTACCAACTCACCTCAGCTTGGCAAGTCGCCGAAACCCAAGGCGACAAAACCAAGGGCTCCTGCAGCTCCAAGAAGGAAACCTTCGATCAAGGCCTCCGGTGAGGGGGGCACGCAGCCCTCAGCCGACGCTACCGGCAAAAGGAAACGCGAGGAAGGCCCGACGCCTGAGGACGACGTCCAAGCCGGCTCGCCACCGAAGAAGTCAAAGTCTGAGTGGGAAGAGCCGCCTAGCCAGGATCTCGCCAAGAGAGACGAGCAAGCGGACAAGATCGAGACTGATGAGGATGCTATTGCCTTCTTGCGTGGGATCGAAGATCTTATGAAGAAGCAAGTAGGTTCCAACGGAGCTGTTCCCCCCGAGTGCTCTGAGACGTTGGAATACATATTGAAGGGCTACGATGGTGACATCACAGGCGCAGATGCGAGCTCGTCAGGCTTATCTGGGGCGCTGGACCCTAGCGCACTCCTTGCTTCGTCTCCCGAGTTGTCGCAACACTCTACCATTGACAGCAATTTTGATGCCTTCTTCGACTTCTCATCATTCGGCGCCGGGGACGAGGATGTCTCTGTGTCGAAAGCACCTACCCCTGATCTGGTTGCTAGCTCCTCGGCCAATCCCAGTCCGGAGTCAGGCGCAGATGAACCAGCAAATCAGCATGCCGGCGTTTCGACATCGACGCCCAAGATCGCTGACGCCAGCGTGGATGACTACCTATCAGGACCGTTGCGGCTAGGCATCTTCGGTGAAGTGGATGGGGGCGAGTCTTCTTTCTACTCGTCGGATAGCTGGAAGTGGGAAGGCCTGATGCCCACCGCCGATCCAGCTTGGGCAATCTCGGACACGTAACTGGTCTGCCCTTTCCTCGGATTCGAATTCGCATATTTATTCCAGCTCCTGGTGTGTATCTTTCTTGGTTAGGTCATGGTGCCGTTTCCCGCCAGTTCTCCTCCATCTCCATCTCTCCATCTTGTCACGCGCTGCCTTTTGTGTACTTCTATGTGTTGTTTGTGCTTGCTGTCGATGCGCTGCTGCTGAATCTCGCCCGGACTCGTTCAGACGGACTTCATGTCAATTCCTTGGTTGGGAAACGGATCCAACGGAGGGGACAGATGTACCCGGAGCATCTAGAGACCATATGGTATGGGTATTTAATACATAGTTTACACTGTAAAACATTAATCGATACACTTGGATCTGTACCATGGATACGGAGTCCGATTCTCGAGTCATCTGTGCGGCTTGAGACTGGAATGTCGAGCTGTGTTCTCGAGAATACGGGCTCGTAAAGATGATATTACCGGCGACGAGGATGAAGAGTGCTGCTTCGAGATTCTCGACTTCGACGCCAGCGAAACCGGCATGGTCCCCACCGCAGCGCCGATCCTCCTCTTCTTCAGAGATTCCTTGTCTCGCAGCTCCTCCTGCCTGCGCGCCCGCTCCCATTCCTCCTTGGCAGCTTTCCTGCTCTCCTCGTCGTCCCTCACGAGGCTCATGCTCTCGGGGAGCCCATATCGGCCCTTGAGCTCTTCGTCGGCCCTCTGCAGCGCGCGGTCGACCTTCTTCTGCTCGCGGAAGCGCTTGCGCACCTTGACGGAGAGCGTGTACGGGTCGGCGGAGCGCTGCTCGGAGAAGGACTGCAGCTCTTCAATGCGCGGCATTTGGACTTGGGTCATATGGGTCTGGGCGGAGGTCGTCTTTTCGAGCGCAGCAAGGGGGTCGGTGGGGGTGGCGGCTTTGTCGGTATCTATCCAGGCATGAGTTAGGGAGAGCTGTGGATAGATAGATCAGAAAACATACCATGCACTGCAAAGCCCCCGTTCTCTTCTGGATCCCAATCCTCCTGCTTCTGCCGTGCACCTTCGGTCACCACATATCGCGTGCTCTGTCTCGCCGTCAGTAATCACAGCTCTGCACGTCGAAGCTAGGTCAGCACACACCTTGGGATCCGTCTGTATCTCGAACCATCCTCCGCACAGATGGCATTTGCATCGGAAGGCGTAGATAGGTGTGGAATAGTAGGATCCAACCTTGCGCTTCTCGGCGTTGTACCGCACGCCCATACCAATGTGGGCTTCGCAGTGGCCACTGGAACAAAGATACTCAGCAAGTGGATATGTAATGAATTATGCGCCGAGAAACACGTACCACCATATGTTGAACGGCAGCTCAAAACGCGTTATGAGGATTCCCTGGTCAAGCTTGCGTGCGCGGTCACCCAGGGCGTGTTTGCCTAAGTCCCAGTTAGCACCTGGGACTACAAACACCTTATACAAGCCAAAGCTTACCTCGGTAAGAGTTGAGACTGCCATGCTTGTCAGGATCAAAGTCGGGTGGGTAGTACTTGTTGAAGCCCTGCATGGCGGACTTGCACAACGAAGCGGAAGCCTGAGCTCACTGGCGTTACGTAATAACCACTTCGTGAGATGTATTCGGCAAACTCCGGAGGTCCCGTGTATATGCTGAACCTTATTTTTCTTACATCCACACACCCACCTTCATCGTAAGTGTCTACGGATTTCGTGCAACGATGTGAAGCAGCTCATTATGCATGTAGTCGCCCCTAGTCACCTTCTGACTCTATCAAGATGAGTTACGTCGCTAAGGGCGAAAAAGAGTACGACGCTGCCGGGGCCGTGCCCGCTGCGAAAATCCACAAGATCCGGATCACCCTCACGAGCAGCAACGTCAAGAACTTGGAGAAGTGTGAGTGCGCGGCGGGCTAGCATGTCCTAAAGCGTGGAGGGAACTGGAGCTGACTATGGGATGGATGGGATGCAGTCTCGAACGACTTGATCAACCGCGCGAAGGACAAGCAGCTGCGCGTGAAGGGCCCGGTGCGCTTGCCCACCAAGGTCCTGAAGATTACGACCCGTAAATCCGTGCGTGTTCCTAGCGCAGTCGCAGTCGAGGGCATTCTTGACAATTCTGTGCGCATATATAGCCCTGTGGTGAGGGTTCGAAGACGTGGGACCGTTACGAACTCAAGATTTACAAGCGCCTCATCGACATGCACTCCTCCAGCGAGATCGTCAAGCAGATCGTGGGTACCGTTGCTTTGCCAAGTGAATTCGATCAACTGACAGCTTGTGTGTAGACAAGCATTAGCCTGGAGCCCGGTGTTGAGGTCGAGGTTACCATCTCGGCTTAAATAGCTACGTATCTTAGGCATCATGCGTGTTGTATGTATGTTTATGACCACCACATGCGATTGAGCGCCCTTTGGCGCTCTCTGTATTGAAGGGACGTTGCTACAAGAGATCACGTATGACACGGATGGGCCCAAGCGCGGTCGAATCATGCAGGAAAGCGGTTGAGACAGCCATCGAGAGGTATCACCGCCGACTCTGCGCAGGTAACAGAGTAGCGTTCGCGCTCCAGGCAAAGTAGGTACACGGTAAAGGTGAGATGCGACAACTTAAAGCTCTATGCGCCGACTGGAGGCCGCTGCTCGGCGACATTCTCTGAGAAGCTGCGGTGCAACCTGTGCATTAACGCGCTATCGGCCAATCAGCATACGCCGTTGCATCACGACATGATGATGGGAGATGTCACTGGGAAGCCGGGCGCCAAAGTATTTCATCGTAGCGTCCGTTGCAATTGCCTGGTACGGTAATTCTGGGTCCCAAGGCCGTAATGTCGTGGTTATCACACTTGATTTTATGGCCCAGGTACTACTCACTAGTCGATCAATGCCCCACCTCCGTCGCTGCGCGGCCCTTTTTCCCTCCTTTCCTTGACCTGTCCTTCTCTCCAGTGTTGTCTGCGCCGACGGCAGCATGTCCACTGTCACCACCACCATCGACAATGTCGACCCGCTGATCGGCTACAACCCCGCAGATCAGTGGTCGGAGGGTGCCAGGGACACCTCCGGTGACAGCCTGTTCGCTCGGTAAGCACACCAGTCGTCTCGCTGCCCGCTCATCTCAATATGAACGCAGATACTCAAATGGCGGGACGTTCACCCTCACGACCACTAACGGTGCATACGCCGAGTTCACGTTTAACGGCACCGCCGTCACGATCTTTGGCGCAAAGAGATTCAACCATGGATTATATACTATCACGCTCGATAATAGCAATGTCGGCACTTTCAATGGGACTAACGCAGAGGGCGTCTGGGGCCCCCTCTACTCGGTCGGGAACCTGCCACAACAGTCGCACACTGTCAGGATCACGCACGCCGGGAATACCGGCACTCAGTACCTCGACGTTGACTATGTGCGTCCGGAGATAACTTAGGACACTGTTGGACTTCCTCGCTGATCTCGGAATTAGATTACCTTCAATAGCACCGTACATGCTAATTGGTCGACGGTTGACGATACAGACTCTTCGTTCGAGTTCCCGTCGACTGGCCAATGGAGCACCAACGTTGCGAACGCTAGTCAATATAACGCCTCAACGGGACAGTATGTGTGGCCTTCATTCCTATACTATCTCTGTCTGACCATTTCCAGCATTACCTGCCTCCAAGGAGGCAGCGCCTCTTATATTTTCCAAGTGCGTCATCATCCAGTACTTCTGCCATGACCCCAATTGATCACCCCTCAACAGGGTAATTTTAACCCATGAGCCATAGTGTCAATGTTTTATAATATTTCTACCAGGCGACTCTGTTCAGCTCTTCGGCACGGTCGGCCCCAAGATGGGACAATACTCCGTTAGCCTCGATGGTGCGCCGCCAATAGGCTACAACGCGCAGAAGGAGTACTTCGCGTCCAACATGATGCTTTACGCCGGGAGCTCCCTCGGCGCCGGCCAACATAACCTCACGATCACGAATCTGCAAGGCCAGACGGGCTCGTGTCTTGCGCTGGACTATGCGCTCGCCAACCCGGCAAAGTGAGTGTTTATTTGACGGGTATCGTCTCGTCTGTGTATCAGATGGATGAGCGCTCATGATTGGCGCTCCTGTTGCTTAGGCCGTCCGCATCGCAGAGCTCCGGGGGAAACAGACACAGGTGAGTAAGATCACATCCCTCTCTGAGCGGATAGGTCCCGCCACCATCACCCGTGGAGACTCGATAGTTTACCGATTCTCCCGGCAGCTCACTGGGCGCAGTCATTGGTGGTGTTGTCGCCGCCATCGTCGTCATCATCGCCATTGCCATCGCACTCTATTGGTTCCTCTGGCGCAGCCGCCGCTCCAGTCGCTCGGGCCCCACGCCAGGACAAGCCGACTTTGCCGCGAAAGACCCCTTCTACGACGACGTCCGGACGCATAACGTTAGCTCTGCGAACCTGGGTTCTATTGTAGTCCCGAGGGTAGGCACGGGGTACCCGCCGACGATTCATAGCCAGAACCAGAGATACGAAGCGCTCCATGGACAAAATCAATCGTACGACGCGTACCCCGGGCAGAATCAAGGGTATAATTCGTACCATAGTCAGGGCCAGGGCGGGTGGCAGCACGGCGATCAGCATCAACCCAGTGTGAGACCTGGCACCATGTACACGATGAGTGAGCCCGGGACGATGCCCGACCCGCGGGACTACCAGCATGTGAGTCACTAGTCTTGTTTGGGCGTTTGCTCGACCGGGCGCTGCGCGGTCGCGACCTCAGGGCGCTCGTGCTGCGCCGTAATGTCGTATTCTCCCATGGAGAGTGAAGCAACTGCTGACAAAACCTCCGTTTATAGCACACCACCAGCCCTTCCGTCCCATCGACTGCAGGTTTCGGAATGCCCAGTCCCGCGCACACATCAACCGACGTACACCGCGCACAGTCGACGTATACCTCTTCCTCCGGCACGCGAGACACGCGCGACACCAAGGCTCGCTACATCGCGAACGACGATCGTTCGCACGTACGTTCGCCATCGTCCAATGCGTTCTCGCCGGACTTGGAGGGGCCTGCGCACGGTGGACTGTCATTCGACGACGTCCCACCCGATTACCACGAGGCTACCCACCGGTGACCATAAACTATCTATTTTTATCCCTTTCTTTCTCCCTCTCGTTTCGGTGCATGCTGTCGCTACCTCTTTCGCGTTTTGAGGATTACTTTCAGGGTGCGTGCCTATCTTAGCCCATCTAGTTCGCGATTACTGTTGCTGGGCAATAATCCAGTCTCTTGGACTGTCTCGTGCGTAGTGTACAATCGATGTATTATATGTCATAGAGGTGGATACTGGACTCTGTCAATGCTTCGCGGGCACGCCTGGGCATGCCTGCCTAGAATCTCCGTACGAAGTGTGATCGCAAGTGAACGCAACAGACTACATTAGAGCAGCACCACTCTCTCATCTTCCTTCGTTTACATTACAAGATTGCTCTACGGTAGACAACACACGAGATATAAGTTAGTGAGCGGAATGTATGTTACAGTCAACATGAAGGAATGCAAGTGCTATATGTAGATGGCATAAGATCCTATGACGGGCCTATGATCACTTCGCCCTTCGAGGCGGCGCATACCCCGGTCATCGAGGGTATTGTAGCTCAGGCAGACGACGTCGCCTTTCCGCGGGCGTGGAGGAGGGGCTTCGATGGTTGGCGTGGGAGGCCTCTGCACAGTGGGGTTCGGTGCATCCCGGTACAGGAAGGGGAGGAAACGCCACTTAGACTGGATATGACTGTGAATCAGATCCTTCGGGGGGACGGGAGGCGGCATTTCTGAGCCCGGGGAATCACTGAGGTTCGCAGAACCAGTCATGAGGGTCATATCCTCGCACGGAGCAGCGATTGTCTTTGATCGCGGAAGAGCGGATTCGGTCGACCTTCGGGAGCGCGAGCCAAAGAAGTGAGAAACAGCCTCATGGGACGTCGACCTAGGCAGCGGTGATCGGTCCCCAGGTTGGGGCTGGAAAGTCTCAATAGACTTCGTCTGCCGCAGCTTCATGTCTATCTGAGGTTGTGCCAGGAACCTCGAGAAGGGCAGCGTTATCCCATTGTGTTCCTCCTGATCGGAGTTGGGAGGAGATGGAATGAGATTGGCAGGACTGTCCTTCTTGTGTGAGGACTCGGTAGAGCTGATAGTGCCAATGGATTCCCGCCTTCGTGAGGCTCTTGACCGGAGATGCGAGAAGAAATGGCCAACCCTCGAACGAGCGGAGCCGGTAAGAGCTTCGTCTTCCTCGGGCTCGGACGGGGGCCGTACTGTTGATTTCCAGAGTATCCGATCGCACCTGATCCATAGCTGAGAAGACGAGCCTGAAGAGATTTCGCATAACACTCACCAGCTAGGGACTCTCTGTTTCGCGGAGGAGTCGTAAACGCCTCTATCTGGATCCTCGGGTTCGTCCTCGAGACTGCGCCTCGAGGACTTGACAGATAGGGCACGCTTCATAGAAACGGGACGAGAACGCCTCGGCTGGACATATCCATCAAGTTTAGTAGGAACTTCTGGAGGTGTCCCGGCCGGTTTACTTGGGACTTCCGGGGTTGCGCCGTTGACTTTACCGGGGACCTCAGGTGGTACACCGTTCGCCTTACTCGGAACCTCCGGTGGCGAAACATTGTCGGACGCACGCGACGCAGCGCGGGGCTCGTCACTCCGACTATCCCGAGAGGGATCATCTATACTTCGATGTGTGTGCCGGGTGAAACTCGCGACAGAAGGCGAGATGAGCGCCTTCCACTTTGACTTTGCCTTGTGGGCAGCGGTCACGATAGACAGCTTCTGGACGAGATTCCCGGTGCTGTGGGCTGGCCGAGAGGGCGTTGCCGGCGGGGCGTCCTCATCCGATTCATCGTCGCCTGCCGTCTTCCGAGAGCCCATCGCGGACGACCAGTAAGAGGGTGCTAGCGACTCGGCGTCCCCGCGCTCATCTTCCTCGTCAGCGTCATGCTCGTCCTGGTCGTCTCCGTCCTTCTCCTCCACCTCGGGCAGTTCGTCGACCGCGCGGGAGATGGCGCTGTCTTTGCTGCTCACCCTCGAGTGCCCTTTCTTCTTGCTCCGCTTGATCGTTTTCAGGACGTCGTACTTGAAGGTCGGCGGAAAGTTGATGGGGGCTTCGTGGAAGCCGTCGAATGCGTGGCCGTTCTGCATTATGTTCCGTAGCTGGTCAAATGCTAGTGCCTGCTCGTATTCTTGACATGTGAAGAGCAACGTATGAGTTCCGAATGCACTTTGCGCAAGAAGACTCCTCACCCTGCCGAGATATTAGCCAGTCGGCGTGTAGGCGAGTGATATCCAGACGGAAGTTCAGATCTCCAAAGATGAAAGTATAGTCAAATTTATCCGTGAGGTCTAAACAGCGTTCGTATCAGTTTGCCATGCCAATATTACTCGACGGCCTACCTTCCGCTAAATTTCGCGGGTCCTCCGGTTTCAAGAAAGTGTCAACTTCCAGTTCACTCTAGATTCCCCTCGTTAGCACCCTCGCACGCAAGGATGGGACGAGATGGGACCTTTATCTTTGCCAAATTGGCCAGACGGTCGTGAACCCGCTCCCCATGGGCGGCAAGGTGCGCGTTGACGAACAGCAAAGTCGTTCCGTCCACGCTCAGGCTGATGCCGACACCGCCTTTATTCCCGACGCGTCCTCCAATGAGGCCTGCCGTCACAGTCGACTTGGACGAACCTAGACCCCACAAATGAGAGCTGGACGGTACGCGTAGCATACACGGAACCTCACCTCTAACCAACGGGCGCAGATCGCGATGCGCGTACACAGCGAGGTAAATGCCCATGAGTCTCTCCTTGGCCACCATCTCATACGGGCCCTTCTGCAAGCCCCCAACGCCCTTCCTCACCCTGGTCACAATATCCCCCGTGGACAGCGAGCGCGCCGGCGGGCGCATCACCTCCTGCGCCCCGGCGTGCGCGGGCGCGGACTCGGAGACGGCGATCGTCGCGCCGCCCGCGCCGTTGCCGTTGCAGAACCAGTCCTCGAGGATGGACGTCCAGCCGGAGGGGCTGTGCCCCGCGAGGAGCTCGAGCTGGCGTTCTTTCTCTTTCTCTTTTTCCTTTTCCTTTTCGCGCTCTTCTTTGCTCTTGTCCTTGAGCTTGAGGCCCGCGCCGAGGCCGAGGGGTATACCTGCGCGAGTGAGCGCGGGAGGACGGGGACGGGCCGCGTGGCGGACACACCTGATAAGCTTGGGCATTCTTGTCCTGCACTGCGGGGGTGGTTAGCAAGGCAGACGGAAGACGAGCAAGGCAGGGACTCGCATTACGACCAGATGGTATGGATGGCTATCATCGAGGGGCAAGTTCGGCAGCCCAGGCGGCCTCTCCTCGCCCGGGGGTATATACGGCGGCACCACGCCCAGCAGCTCCTCCAGATTCCCCTATCACCGCGCAGCCACGAATCATCAACAGCCCCCCTCCACCACCACCGCCACCACGAACCAAACCACTCACCTTGGGCAGCGAATCATGCATGTTCCACGTCACGATGCGCACCTTGAGCGCGCGCGGCGGGGGCGCGGGGACGTTCAGCGAGCTCTTGCGGCGGTGGGAGGAGGCGCTCCTGTCGCTGCCGTGGCGCGAGACGCCGGCGGGGGGCGTCGTCGCGCCGCCGCCGGGCGAGGCGGGCGGGAAGAGCGCCTGCAGGCGCGCGAGGACGGTCTGCTGCTGCTGCTGCTGGCTGGAGCCTGAGCCTGCGTCGGGTTAGCATCATAATTTTCCTATCGCGCAGGCGGGCGGACCTGAGCTGGTGCGGTGTGGCAGGTGGACGTGCAGCGGGGGCCTCTCGCGATGGGGGGCGTCTGTCGGAGCCTGAGCCTGGGCCATGAGAACAGCGGCGGCGGGTGCGCATAAGTCAGTGGGGGAATCGGCGTCGACGCTGTGCGGTGCAGCAGCTGGCGTTCATTAGACGGCGACGCGGGGACGCGGATTCCGAACCACGTTACGTCTTCTTGCCGGAAGCGGATAAAGGAGAGTACTTGATGGCTGCAATTGTCGGTACAGACGGGCGTGTTATTGCTACACGGCTCTACAGTGAGTCTCGGAAACAGGCTCCACTTGGTCTGGGTATTCACTGGTATGTAGTACACGAAGGAGGCGCTGCAGTCGGAGACAATAAATAAAGTACATGGACGTCAACTCAAACCCGGAGAAAGTAAACCATGGCAGATCCTGTATAGAATCAGAAAATAGCACGCACGAGACCGCCGCCGATAGCAGCGCCTGAAAACAGGGATTAGTGTATGTTGCAACCTTGGGGGGGAAGCAGCGAGAAGATGATGGTATCTCACCTGCGCCGAACCCAACACCGCCCGCTGCAGAGTGCGCCATCTGGCAGCAACGGGGGAGGACCATGAACGACGCATCCGCCAACCAGGCAGAGCCAAAACGCACCGTGTTCCCGTACTTGCCAAACTTGCTCTTCTTCGCCTCCTGCTTCGGGTCCTGCGCGAGCCCGAGCGAGTTTGTCGCGCCGCCGGGCGGGGGCACGTCCGCGCCGTGGTGCGCGGCCATGAAGGGCTTGTACGCGGGCTTCTCTGTCGAGCCCCTGGGCGCGGGGGGGACCGCGCGCGCAGGCAAGGCGGGCGTGTCGACCCTGGCGACGTGGTTGGTGGGGAAGAGGCCCTCTCGGCCCCGCACGCGGCCGATCCACCAGTCGTCGTTGGTCTCTTCGACGATCTCGATGATGTCGCCGGGGTGGAAGGTCAGGTCGGAGGGGTCCTGACGAAGCAAGATAAGGGATGAATAGATCGACGGGGGATTATTGGGTCACCTGGGCGTCTTCGTTGTACGGCCAGAGCGCCTTGGCCTTGCCGATAACAGGGCGTGCGGCGGGAGGAGGGGGGACAGCGCGGGGCGCCTTGGTCAGCGCGGGGGCCACCGCGGCGGAGACTGGGCCGGTCGCACAAGGCAGTCTCGCGGTCATGAGCGAGGCGTCCGCTGCAGTAATGTAGTTCTGCGAAACGAGAAACTCGATGTTCTGCCGCATTTGCGAGACGACGTGGGCGAGGAGGGCGGCGGCTTGGGCGTCGGCGGGGGCAGCCATGGTGAAAGTTTGAGGGAGGTTGGCTGTGTTTATGTAGCATGGGAGCCATCAGGGGGAAACCATCGGGACCGCGCAGCCTGATCATACAGTGGCGGACAAAAGTATCTGCACTGCCGCATCTTCGGGGGAAAAGCGGCTGTCTTTGTCTCGTAGCTTACACTTTCATTCCAGAAATTGTATGTACATGAAGATAGTCTAATATACTACCTTCCCCACCAATTTTATGGGGTGGCAGCTTGGAGGATTATGAGCCAGGGAGTCATTATGCCTCGATGTGTGACAAGAGTGACTGTCACAGCTCTGTTTCCGTCGACAACCGACCGAATCCTACCCTCAACTTGACTCCCCTGCCCGAACTTTGCTCACATACAGACTCTCTATGACCTACACATCACCATCCAAATGTGGCAGGATCGTCAAACTCTACAACTCTGGGTGCAAAGCCGATGACATTGCGAAGCGGTTCAGCATCTCAAAGCGGGCCGTGTTCGACATCGTCAAACATTACAAGACTACTGGGAGTTGCTATCCCCATCCCAAATCAGGCCGTCCGAGGAAGCTCACACCCCAGGACCGCAAATTTGCTGCCCAGTTGCTTGACAGAGGCCGGTGCCGTAATGCCGTCGACCTGCAGGACAACTACTTTGAACATGTCACTGCCCGGACTGTTCGCTGTGCCTTGCACGAGGAAGGACTTCATGCTAGGGTTTGTAGGAAGGTCCCCTCCCTGAATGCCAAGCATCGGACTGCCAGGTGGGCTTGGGCGCATTGTGTTGCAGGTTGGAGTGTGGGGGTCTGGAAATGGGTCATTTTCTCGGATGAGTCCAAATTCAATTTATTCACTTCGGATGAGCGGGATTATTGTTGGAGGAGGCCAGGAGATGCACTCCAGGAGCGGTATACCCAGAAGACCTGGAAGCATGGTGGTGGGCATGTGATGGTGTGGGGATGCATGACGTGGAAGGGCGTTGGGCGTCTTGTTTGGATCGAGGGAACCATGACGGCAACAGAGTATGTCCAGATTCTTCAAGGACAGCTTCTAGGGACCATGTCAGACTATAGGATGAACCCCCGGCATTTTATCTTCCAGCAGGACAATGATCCAAAGCACCGCTCACGCCTTGCCCAAACCTGGTTTGAAGATAATCTTGTCCGTGTTCTCCCCTGGCCAGCTCAAAGTCCCGACATGAACATCATTGAGCATCTATGGGACCACCTCAAGCAGAAAGTACAAGCCCGAGACCCAGCTCCCAAGAATCTAGATGAGCTTTGGGCTGCGATTGTGGAGGAGTGGTACCGGATTGATGTCGCCACAGTACGCCGCCTATACTCGAGCTTACCCCGGAGGGCCCTGGCTCTGAAGAAGGCTAAGGGTGCTAATACAAAGTACTAAATCAGGTCAGTCATTCAGGCCGAGACTTATTTTTTATAAATTTATTGATTCCATCTAACCAGTTCTGAGGGTACCTGGTTCGAGATGAATTTACCTCCTGGAAGCAAGGAGTGGGGCATCTAGGGCTGAAAGTCTGTATGCATTTATCTTACATAGAGTAGTTACAAATCATGAATATACATTGATCCATGTTGCCCCCGATCTGCCCAGAACCATGAAAGTGGTGGCATGCAGATACTTTTGTCCGCCACTGTACGGTTACATAGCAATGTTTAACATACGCCGCTTCGGCAACTTTTTTGGACGCCCCGACCCGCATTTGCCGTATCTCGTCAAAAACATACACCATGCCGCCCATCACATCCATCACCGCCGTCCCCGCCTTCGTCTCCCCCGAGGAACACAAAGCCCTCGTCGAGTCCACCCCCGCCTCCTTCAACGACATCCCCCCCGTCCTGCGACACAAGCAAGAAAACGTCTCCGTCCGCCTCGACCCCCCGCTCGACGGCTTCGCGACCGCCGCCGACGCCCGCGGCACGCTCTACGTGATCGAAAGGTCAGGTCAGCCCGCCCCCCGCCCCCGCGAGCTTGCACTCTGAGCAAACCTCGTATACAGCGTCCTCGTCTTCGTGAACGACGCGGGCCGCGCATTCCAGGTCGAGTACCCCGCGATCACGCTGCACGCCATCTCGCGCGCGGACCCCCGCCCCTCCATCTACTGCCAGCTGGACGAGAGCGCCCCCCAGGTCGACGGCGAAGGCGCCGCGGGTGGTGAAGGCGCCATGCGCGAGCTCAGCATCATCCCGCAGAGCGCGTCCGCACGTAAGTCCCCCGACCAATCCTCCCACCTGTCCACTAAACCAGCACACACCCCCACCAGTCGAGCCGATCTTCGAAGCGCTCTCCCTCTGCGCCTCGCTCCACCCGGACCCGGACCCGGACGACGACATGGACGACGACGACGGCGACGCGTTCATCGATGCGGCCGAGGAGGGCAACTTTGAGGTGTTCACCGGCGGCGAGGGCGAGGAGCTCAGCGAGGTCGGGAGGGTACGCAGCGATTTCGTCAATAATTCCCGTTATGCGCCGTACTAGACACCCTCTCTCCACGCGCTCTCTTCTCGGCAGGCCGCGTTGGAACATCTCGAGTCTATCATCTATGATCCGCACAATCTGACGAACCAAGCCGATGGAATCAACGGTGATGATCCTGGATCGGAGGGCAAGCAGGAAGGCTCGGAGGGGCGTGCGTGAAGCTTTGGCGTAGGCAAAGCATCCCAAAAAACTGTATTATAATAATGCTCAGCGTTGCCGTACGCATGTAGACGCGTGTGCATCGGAACGTCTCTTCAGTCATGCTCGGTCTAGGAATACAGGTTCAGTACGTTGCTCAAAGGCTGCCCAAACGCCAGGTACTACATCTCGTAGAAAAACAATACACTACATCGCGCAGGAGGTCACTCATTTACCCTGAAACCCATCCAACACCCACGAGCCCTCCATCGCCGGGCTCGCGCTCCTCTCCTTCCCCTTCGCCCCCTCGGGCCTCACATCCGCCGACAGCATCGCCTTGGGCTGCACCCCCGGCAGCGGGCCCCAGTCAAACTTCACCGGCGGGGACGCGCTCGCAGCCGGCGCGGGGCTCTTCTTCAGCGGCGCGGACTTCATGTGGTACTTGCCCGCCACCCCGCGCTGGCGCTCCCGATGCGACGGCGAGGCCACGCCGCTGTCGTCCAGCGGCGGGAGCGACCACTCGGGCAGGACCACCGGCTCCGCCTTGAGCTCCAGCTGCGGCAGCGGGCCCAAGTCGAACGGCTTCGGCGGGCCCAGAGCGAGCGGAGCCGCACCAGTGATCGCCAGCGGCACTTCTTTCTTGCGCGTCTCGACGAGCGCCGGCGCCTCGACCGCCTGCCTGTTCAGCAGCGGCTCCTTGCGCACCGCGAGCAGCGCGCGCTTCAGCCGCTGCGCGGACCGCTCCGCGTTGAGCGCCGCCGCCGTCGCGACCGCCACGTTCGGCGCGACGTTGGCCGGCTTCTTGGGCGCGCCGCGCGTGTCGCTGGGCAGTCGGCGGAGCATTAGACGTCGCCCGCGGTTGTCAAGTTTCAGGTTCGTGACTCTGGACGCGAGCGAGGCGATCTCGATGGCTTGTTGGTCGAGCGCTGTGTCGATGTTGCGATATGTTCTGTGGATGGTGTCGAGGGAAGGAGCTCTGACATGTCCGTTAGCGACTAGCAGCGCTGAACGCACCGTAATAGCTTACCTCAGGGCTGGTTTGCCTGTCTTGTACTCGCGCACCCTCTTCTTGGCGGACTTGATATGGTCCTCCAATTTCTCAATACGGTCGCGCAGAGCCTAGCATCGCTTCCATCAGTAACGTAGTGAAAGTGAAAAAACGCGGTCACCTACCCTGATATTCCTTCGTAACTGACTTTGAGTCTCCGTGTATTCCGGGCCGAGAGACCTGATTCTCAATGCTTTCGCGAACTCCGGATCAGAGCTTGCTCGGCTGAAGCGTGCAATCTCCTCTCGCTTGGTAGTACCTGCGGAGAACTAGGTCAGCAGAGAAGCATTATAACATGACAGGCGAACTGACCTTTGAGCAGATTGCTCTCCAGCTCGTGAATGGATTGCCTGTACGTCTTCTTCCTCGTCCGCAGTTCGGCAAGGTCCTTTTCAAGATCCTTGACCTTCTGCTTCAACCGCCCGATGTCGCTGAAAGTCACTCCACCCGGCGTGGCGCCGGTCGACTTGCTCAGCGCAGCCGTTTTCCCGCTCACCTGCTGTGCCAAGGCGCGCAGCTGAAACGGATGTGAGTAGGTCGCATGATAGGATAGGCATGAAAACGTACATCCTCTAGTTCTTTAGCAAGTGTAGCAAAGAGGTGCATGCACTCGGCCTGCATCCCAGCCTCTACGCTCGGCTCTTTTGGTGCTGGAACTTTGAATGGAGACGGCTGTGATGGAGGAGCGTTGAAGAGCGGGGGTGTCGGCTTGGCACCACCGAACAAACCGCCCCCGGCTGCTGGCTTAATGGGAGGAGGTGTAGCTGGAGTAGCCGGGGTGGCTGGAGTAGCGGGCTTAGAGCTGAATAGGGTAGGAGAAGGCGGTGGGAAGAGAGGACCCGGTGGAAGCTTGAACGATCCTGGTGTAGTCAAAGGCGCCGAGGGCGGAGGCGTCGTGAAGCCGGGAAGCACGCTAGGCGGTTTGGAAGGACCGCCAAACATGTTCAACAGCGGTGGCGTCTTCGGTCTAGATTTTGGAGCAGGACCTTCAGCTGCCACCGTGTCGGGTTTCGGCGAAGCTGGAGGAGCAGGAGCCTGAGAAGGCGTAGTCGGTTTCGTACCAAAGACAGGTGAAGCGACCTTGGCGGCGCCCTCCGTTTCGTCATCAGGTGTGGTAACAGGCGGCCGCGCGAGCGGTGAACTACGGACCGGTCGCGTCGAAGGCTTACCGAGGCCCAACGACAGCGGGGTCGTCGCAGGTGAAGGCGAGACAGGTATGGGTGCAGCCAACGGAGGCTGGGAGGGCGGGGTCAGCGCAACATCCTTGGCAGGCGATCTTGTGGGAGTGGTGCTCCCCCCCGGAGCAGCAGTCGTCCGGGGACCGTCTCCTGGAGTGGGCGGAGTGCTGGGGGGAGACTGTCGGATAATGGGCACTTCAGCTTTCGGCGTAGTGGATGGAGATCTTGACGCTTGTTTGGGTGTTGCCGGTAGAACTGGGCTACTTCCTTCAGCAGAAGGCTGGTCCTGCGCAGGGGACGCGTCTTTCTCCACATCTTTCCCTTCTTCCTCTTCACCTTCCTCTTCAGCTTCTTCTTCTTCCTCTTCCTCTTCTTCTGTTTCCTCCTCTTCCTCTTCCTCCTCCCCTTCTTGTTCTCCTTCACCGTCGGGCTCACTACCAGGTTGCGTCTCCCCTTCTTCCTGAGCACCATCTTCTGAAAATTCTTCAGAGAGGAACGAGACAGCATCCTCCTCGTCACCTGTATGCTCCGATCCCGGTGACTTACCTGGGCCCTGCTCCTCGTCTTCAGACGTGCGTCCAACGTCTACGAAAGACGAATCTCGAGACAATTCACCCAGAGACAAGCTACCGAGAGATGGCTCCTTGGATAGATCGGACAACTTGAGCGGCTCCTGGTTCGTCAGAGTTTCCTCCGAGAACTTCTCCGACGGCTTGGGAGTGCCCTTTTCTTCGTCCGACTCATCGCCCTCCGCGGACGCGCGTGGCGTCCGAGCGGCAGAGACGGGTGTAGTGCTAGAACTAGCACTGGTCTCTTTCGACGGAGCCTTATGAGGCGCGCCGAAGACAGATACCGGTGGCTTGGAGGATGGAGAGGCAATGTCTTCTTTGCTTTCACGAAGTAAGGAGCTGAACGACTTGTTTCCGCCAGCAAAAGCGCTAAAACCACCAGAACTCCCGCTGAAAGCACTGAACGCGTTATTTGTCAAGGATGCTGAGGGTGTGGCAGGGGCGGCCTTGGGAGTGCTGACCGGCGTAGTGGAAGGGCCCAGGGACGATTGGCCGAACACTGGCTTCGCGGCTCCTAGAGGTGAAGGCGCGCCAAACGCCAATGCACCAGGCTTTTGCGGTGTGGAGGGAGTAGAGCTACCAGCCGGTTTGGACAAAGCTGCGAATCCTTCGACAGGCTTCTTGGGCTGCAGGAAGGGCGAATCTGACTTCGAGGTCATGCCAAATCCGTGGCCGGGCTGGATGAACGATGAAGGGCTCGATTTGAGCTGACTGAAGGCTCCAGTGCTGTGTGTCGGTGTTGACGGCGGTGCGAGCTCCGTGGTCGGAGACGTAGGAGATGACGGAGGGCTAGCCAACGCCGGCGGTACTGTCGCCTTTTTCTCTGGCTCGGGCGCGGGTGTGCTAGACGTCTCCTGGGCCGGCTGTCCAAATACCGAAGGAGAGCTAGGGCTGGGTTTACTAAAGACTGAACTGGTGGTACCGGTCCCTCCTCCACTCCCAAAGGCGCTTGCTGTCGACGAAGGCTCGGTCTTTGCAGCCCCGAAACCCGTAGCGGACGGTGATCCCGTTTGCTTCAACGCAGAGCCGAACGAACTCGTCCCGCTCTGTGCAAATGCTGCAAATCCCCCGCCACTGGAGCCAAAGGCGCTCGTAGTAGTTGCAGCGGGGGCCGGACTTCCACCAAGGCTCGGCTTTCCGAACGTCGAAGGTTGGCCAAACCCGGACTGACCAAACGCGGGGGAGGGTTTCGTGCCAAATCCACTAGATCCAAAAGCAGGTGAAGGTTTCGCAGCGTCTGTAGCGCTCGGGGTAGCAGGTGAAGTCTGCTGCGAGCCAAGGTTGGAGAAAGCGCCGAACCCAGATGCCGGCTTTATCGTATCAGACGGTGATGTGGACGAGAAGGGGGAGGAGCCTGGCTGAGACCCAAACCCAGAGAACGCACCGAAGCCAGTTGCGGGCTTCAGGGAACTGAATGCATTGTTACCTGGTGAGAACGCAGAAGGTGCAGCACTCGATTGGTTGGGCGTAGAGGGCTGACCGAAAACACTCGACGGGGCGCTAGAACCGAATACAGATGACGACTTTGTTTCCGGCTTTTCATTGGTCGGACCGCCTAGCGAGAGCCCACCCAAGGCATCGCCAGGCTCAGACATTGACATGGACGGTGTCGACGTGAGGGGAGGGGCAGCCGGGGCCGCTGATTGGTTTGCACCGAAGCCAAATCCTGTTTGTCCGAACGTTGCTTGACCCGCATTCGAAGCTGTCGAGGGCCCTGAACCAAAAGTCGAGCCGGATCCGAAAGCGGAGCCTCCAAAGGCTGAGGTAGTCGATGGTTTGTTTGACTGTCCAAAGGCAGATGTCTGCCCGAACGCCGGCTGCGATACAGGAGTTGATGTCTGACCGAACGCTGACTGTGATGCAGGAGTGGATGTCTGTCCAAACGCCGGCTGTGCTGGAGGAGCGGAGGTCTGTCCGAAAGCTGATTGCGCTTGCGTACCCTGGCCAAAAGCAGCCACAGGGGTGTTTGGCTGCGTCCCCGAACTCATGGATATGTCTCTGGTCTGCAAGGCCGGCGCCGAGACGCTCGGAGCTGCAGCCCCGGCAGTACTTGCGTTGACCATTCCAGGGTAGGCGAGGCCCTCAGAGTTGACTATAAACCACGCTTGAATCGTGCCATCGTTGGCATAAGCCAACATGATTGGCGGAGGTGCTACCTCGAAGGCCTCCCCCGAAGCTTTGGTGCTGCGGAAGGAATCGGTGTTCGTCAGATCCAGATCCAGACCGACGAGAGTAGTATCTTCCATGTCCTTGTCCAGAGGCATACTTGGAGTAGCATTTTCGTCCAGGGACAAGTTGTACCAGGCCTCTTGCGCTGCATTGGCTTCGTCCGGCATACAGGCTATCACACCTATATCAGATGACGAGCCGTCGCCCATGATGAGCAGGAACTTCGTGGGGTCCCAGTTCCTCAGGACGAGAGTGTATGGGCCAGGCGGCCGATTTCCCGGGAAAGGATAGTAAGGGTTGTTCAACTCGAAGGTCGTAACGGTGTTGGTCTTGGAGTCCATTGATACGATCAGATGGCTCTGTGGGGCGTCTGGAGGAAGACGAGCGCCAGCAGGAGCGTACACTGCATTGAAAGTAGGATTACTGAGCCACGTCGCGCTCAATACGCTCGGGTTCTGAGCGGCTGGGGGCTTCGGTATCCTGGTCTTGACTAACGCAGTTGCTGAAGGACTGAACGAGCATATATCACCATTTTCCAATCCTATGGCTAGTTGTTTTCCTTTGGGCGACCAAGCCACTTGAGTGCTTTCAGTATCAAGAACGTCCGTGAAATTAGCCACACTTACAAGCTGTAGGAGTAGTCTCCGGCGTGGAACCCCACTTCCAACCGCCCACACTCTGGAGCTGCAGTACGTCGAACATGTCAACCAATTGGCTCTCGGGCTTCCCATCCGGTTGTCTCAGAACAGCGACGAGCTCAGGGTTGTCTCCAGGGTTCGCAACAATCTGTCTGACTGGAGTAGCGACTGTCGGGGCGAACTGATGCAGGGGATCTACCGGGTCAGACCCTTCGGTGAACAGCCGTGCCGTGTCGTAGACTAGGATAGGCCCTCCAAGGATAGAGACCAGTAGTCTGTTGTCATTGGCGGCAAGAACGAGGAAGTCGAGAGTCGCGCTGCCCAGAGGCAGAGTACGCTTGGACGTAAAAATGATTTCATTCTCTTCACTATGACTCGTAGACGCAAAGGCGGCGCGTAAGTCTGACAAGGGGGAAAAGATGAGGTCTGTGTGGCCGCTGGTTATTAGTGGGGGTTCTTGAACAACGAAATGAAGCACGCACGGATCTGGCCACCCGCTGCTCGGACTACAGCAGCAAACCATCCCTTCGAGTTTGCAACTACAAGGAGATGGGTCTTGCTTGGGAACGGTTGGAGGTTATGCGCCTCGGGTGAGATCCTTACACGCGCCCGCTTGTTCAACAACCGGAATGCAAGGAACTACAGGTACAGTAAGCGTCAGCCTATGAGATCAATTCAAAGTGAAGATAGGAAAGCACTCACGTTTGCATCCTTCTCCGTCCCGACCTTCTCTATAACTGTGGCGTTCGCCTTGGGCTGTCGCCGTAACGCGCTCACGTTCATCCTGGCGAGTGAATCGTGCAAAGACGCGTCCGCAGTTCCTGCCCGACGCGCAGTCTATACCGTGTCGCGGGTTTGAACTGCAGCAAGGTATAAACGAGACGTGCAGGCGTAACGGAAGGAGGGACGTAAATATAGCCACAGTTGAACGTGTGATCGGCGCCGGCAAGGCCACATCGGACAACGTATATAAGACAGTGCTTGTCTACTATTCCTCATAGCAGGCGCAGTATTAAACCTCTTCAAACATGTCCGACCCGTTCCTCGCGCATATTATTTCGCAAACGAGGCAGAACATCGAATTTCTAGTTTCTCGGAATGTTATCCCGAGGGCGGACGGAGACGTCGTGCTAGCCAAACTCCCTTCCGCCAGCGACGCTTCGGTCCTCGCCTTATCCCAACGCACGCAGGATCTCGTTATATCGGGTGCATCAGCACCCAATCCAACCCCTCCACCTCGCAGGAACGTGCCTCCTCCTCCTCCCAGAGCAACTCGTGCTAGAGCGCTATGGGATTATAATGAGAATGGCGAGGTATGCTGCGGAGGCTCCTTGTTCGTCCTTATGCCTGAGCGGTCCTCTAGAATCCAGATGATCTGTCATTCCGTAAAGGAGATATAATCGAGATTATCTCAGAAACCAACCCCGACTGGTGGACTGGGAGATTGAACGGCAGGCAGGGACTCCTGCCTGCTAACTACGTCGAGAAACTAGACTCGACTAGTTCTCCTGCACCTCCGCCTCCCTTCCCCTCTAACACGCCTCAGTATCAGCCCGATCCTAGGCAGTACACACCCAGTCCCGCACCCGGCTACCAAGCTGCGTATTCGCCCCCTCCCGGACCTCCCGGTGGTTATGGTCCCGAGAAAGCTGCACCGTACAATCCCTACATGGGCCCGCCGATGCAGCCCAACCCCCCAGTTCCTGTAGTTCAGGCGCCTCAACCGCCGCCTGCTCCGGCAGCGAAGCCCAGCAGATTTGGCGGTCTTGGTAACACGGTACGTCCTGCTGATCTTAGGGGAGTGATACTCTTGACTTATCTTCGGTGTCGAAAGCTTGCGACATCAGCTGTTGGTGGTCTTGGATTTGGTGCAGGTTCGTACTGTATCCCAACTGCTGTCAGCGTAGGATGCTGACATGTCAATAAACAGGATCTGCCATTGGAAGCGACCTTATCAATTCCATATTTTAGTGACCAACCACAGCAAAGTTACTCTTGCTATACGAGAGTTGTATTTTACCTAGACGTCATGTTATCATTTGTACCGCTTGGATACAGGACTTTCTCGTTATGTTTGAATACTTATAGACGTTGTTTTCGACCGGTGTCCGAGCTGCGCTTGCCGCGGTATGTAATCAAGGTGGAGGCACCATCTCAGACTCAGACACGGCGCGACTGCGGGCACTGGCTTTCTTCACTGCCTCTCGTGCTCCGTACGACATATAATCGCTGTACAGAACTTGCGCACAACTGTTACATTCCACCGTCGACTCGCTCTACGACTACGTGACGACGACTGAAGTCCGGAATCCTTCGCTGTCTTGGTGACCTGCTCCGGACTTATCATACCGAAATTTCCCCTCCCCCTCATCCTCACGCGGCCCACGTCTGCTTTTCATTTCGGTCTCCGTACTTTGCCGATTCTCTGAAGACCCTTCACCCACCGCGCAGCCGCGATGACACTATTTGACCGTATCTCGGATGCAGCAAGCAAAGTGCTGCCCTCGAGGAACAACCACATTCCAGCGCCGGTATCTGGAGGGATAGGGAACGGGCACGGGATGGCGTCGTTTGAGGATGATGTGAGTGTTCCGTTCAGCTTATCTGCCCCTTGTAGTCCGTCGAATTCCCCCCTGCATCTTTTCCATTTCGTGTTGGCATCCCGGGGTGTATTGCCCTTGCCATTTACGTAAACATGTTCAACCTCCTTCGTGAAGCACCCCGTCTATGGCGGACGGGGCCCTCGCGTTCTTGCTCTTCTTGCCTCTACTATGGACACTATGGATATGGGTCATCCTTTCTCTCCTCGCATTTTTGCATGCCGGTGGTGGTGCTGACGCATTCATCCCCAGATGATTGTTTCGAAACCCGCGATCATATTTCACGCCTCACAAGTATTCTTCAATTTCCTAGCCATGGCGTGTTTCGCCAGTGTAGCAGCCTTCCAAGCCAGGTTCCACGTTGGGCCGTGTACGTGTTTCTACCGCGTCTGCGCGTCGTGACGCGTCTCATAGCCTTGTCGCAGCCGGTCTCTCTGGCTTCGCCCTGTTCGTATCCGTTGCCGGGATATTCATGTCTACATTCTTGTTGCTCGTCCCTGTTCTTTATGAAAAGTACGACAAATTTACGCGGCTTGCGCGTGCCTTGAAGGAGGTGCGCGTCGGATTCATCCTGTCAGGGGCAGGCACAGCTGTGAGCCTTCTCATTGCGTAAGTCGCCTGCTATCTTCTCTGTCAAGTCCTCGCACTAATTGAGAGCCGTATCTTAGGTTCATCACTACTATCTCTGCTTGGACCGAACCCGGTTGCAAAAATGCCAAGAACGATCCGCACGCAAAGGAGGGTGGAGACGACTTTGTGAACGGCTTGCCAGGGTGGTGTAGTACCAAGAAAGCGGGGGCAATCTTCTTCTGGTTGGCGTTCGGTGAGTGCTATCGCGGTCTGCCGGTACCCTGTCATATTCACGATGACTGGTAGGTTTCTGGACTGCTTCGCTAGTCCTCACGTTCCTCGACTGGCGAAATGGGCGCTCCCTTCGTCCGAAGGATCCTCCTTTCCAGGCTCCGGCTACTGAAGATCTGGACGAGGATGACGGTGATGAAGAGTCGCAATACCGGATACCACCAATTCGCCGTATGACTGCCGAGTCTGAGGCTGCCCAGTCCCCTTTCTCTGACGCTAATCGCTACTCTGGTGCTTCCTCCACTGCCCTGGGATCAGCTCCTGGGGGATTCACCGCGCCCGCACCATCAAGACCGAGCATGGACGCGTACGGCGCGTTCTCCGACCCGCCGCCCAGTGGGTTCGGTGCTGCACCAGTGGCGGACGCGAGTCCGCGCGTGAGCAGGACTATGCAGTACGCCGACCCATACGCCGCTGTGCGCGCCTCCATCGCAGGGGCTCCCCCGTCGACGAACACCTCCTCTCCACCGACATACGAAACCTACCAAGGATATCAGGGATATTGATAACTGACGACAAGGAAGCAGCAGATGTAGCATTACGACTTACGATTGACGTATTTTATTTATGATGCTGTCGGACTGGACTTGCTTTTACTCTAACGCTTTGCAGGCTGTTTCGAGCTTGTATGAATACATATCTTGTTTCTGCTCCCATCGGTGGGAACTCGTATCTTCGTGCAGACGCTCACTTGAACGTGTGTGGCTTGACGCGCTTCTGAGACAGGGGACGCGACGAGACAGTCAACAATTGCCTAATCGGGACGTGTTGTGCTTCCGACACTTGGTCCCGACCACCACATCTTGGTTACATGGCGCCGCCGCCTCCCCCTTCCAGCGGAATCTTGTCGAATGTGTTCAGCTTTGTATCGCGAGAATTGGAGTCTTTCGTGACGAATGCCACGGGGGGAACCACGACGCAGGTGAGTTAGCTCATAGGACCCTGGCGCGGTCGCAAATTTCCACGGCACTTATGATATGAGCAAGGCGGCCAATACCCCATCAGAGGCGTCGAGTTCACGCGTCAAATTGAGTGAGACGCGGCGCCGTCGCGATAGTGCCCACGAGTCGCATAGTCTTGAGACACACAGACGCGACGACGAACCTCGAACCTCCCGTATATCTCGCCACAAACCCCCAGAGCAACCCCCCAACTCTTCCCCGCGATGTCGACATGAGGAAGAGCCTGTAGAACGCTCATCTCGCTCATCTAAGAGGAAGGGTGAAGGCTCGTCTGCCCGGTCTCGGAGTCCCCCACGTACTGCGACCCAAGAAGGCGAGTACTCCTTCTCTTCTGTATTGGTTGCTCCTAGACGCATTGTTCCCTACTCAGTAGACCGTTCCAAACCCAATGTCTCACGTTCCGCATCCCCTCCAAACTTGCCTCCTCAGCTGAAGAAGAAACCATCCGTCGTCATGCCTGGTTCTCTGTTTCCGCGTTCCCCCTCTCCTGAATCTGAACCGCCTCTCAACTTCGCCGCACTAGACAGTGACGAGCCTCACACGCGATCTGATACTGCTGCAGCTAGCCCTCACTCCAAGCGGGCTCGTGCGTCAAGCAGTATGTCCGTAGAGGAGGTTAGGAATGATCGCTCCGCGTCTTCATCTTCACGGCGACCTGGGGGCACAGAAGCCTCGGATATCCGCACTCGTCACGAACACCCTCCTGGCTCACCATTTCGTCCTAGAACTTTATCGTCTGTGCAGGACGCTATCCGTAAGTTCCAGCCAGGCCCGGACGAGGCTGGTCCATCGATCTTGCTACCGAACAGCCCTGGCTCTCCCAGTAAGGGAAAAGAGAAGGAGAGTGATCGGCGAAGTAGTGCGGGAGGCAACAGGAACACCAATGATGTACCGGCAAGCTCACTTCCGACTGCAAGGTCCTGGAAAGGCAAGGAGAAGGAAGGAGTGGATATAGGTCATTACAGGCACGATGATCCGGATTCCTCGGGGATGCTTCGCATCCGGGGAAAGGAGCGCGAGCTTTCTGTAGCGTTAGAAGAACAGAGGAGGAAAGAGCGCGACTGGGAGAGAGACCCAGAGAAGGACAGAGACAGGGAACGAATTGAACAAGAGCGGAGACGTGATAAAGAGCTGATTCGTCGCCTGGAAGAGGAAGTACGTCGATTGCGGGATGAGGTACGGTTTGATTTTTGAGTCGTAGTGTGTGGTTCTCATTTTAATATTGGACAGCTCGCTCGGAGACCTGTTGTGCATGTCTCGCGAGATGACCAAACCTCAAGGGACCCACCTCCGCCGCCCCCACCTCCGCTGCCACCCGTAGGTGTAACCCCTCGCCTACCCACGACGCCTTCCGCAGGGGCGGACTCCCTTCTGATGGCAGTCCGAGCGTCACTGAAGCACGCGGGAACCCCCAAGGAGGCCCCCATAAACGCCGGTCCAACCGCTGCTCGCCCTAAGCGTGCTGGTCAGCCAACTGTGAACGTCCCTTCTGATAAGATGGCGGCCTTTTTGAACGAGATGAAGACTGTTCGCCTGAGGAAGGTGAGCTCAGGAGGTTCAATGCCTCCTCCCAGGCCGCCCTCTGCGGCTGGAACGGCCAGTCTGTCGCGCAGCTTCAGTATAGATGGCTTGAGAGGTCGAAATCATGACTTCCAGCAGAACGCTGAGCGCGGCTCAATTAGCTTGGACGTACCAGCTGCCACGCGGAATTGGCTTAATGACCTAGCAAAGACAAGCGAAAAGCGCAAAAGAGACGAAGACTCGCATGTCGGCGAACATACTGAAGAACTTCGTGAGTGTGTCCGCCGCAGTTAGTTCTGCTGCTAAATGGGTTTATTAGGGGCAGCGGTTAAGCGTCGCTACGACTGGAACACGAGTATCGAGTCCACTTCGTCGGCCACGTCTTCGAGTTCCACATCTGCCTTTACCGGGTCAACGTCTCAGACCTCGACCTCCCTACCACTTGACACTTCTACATCTACGCGCGCCCGTCCTCTGTTTTCCAAGCCCTCAAACTCCCTTCCGTTGCGACCTTCCATAAACGTTACCGATACTACTGATCTCACTACTCCCTCCTTGTGTTCCGACCGGGATGTTGATAATGAGGAGGCCCCTAGCCCAGATGACAAGCTGCTGCATACACCTCCTACACTGGCAATGGACCTACCGGAGTCAATTTCTCGGGATGGTCCGACCGTTACTGAGCCCAACCGTCCCGGATTCTATGTGGAACCTATACGTGATGACGTGTCGCGACTACGGAGACATCCCACTCCTCCACCCCCAAGGGATCGGACGTTTTCCCTTTCCCCTTCTCCGCCACCCAACAACGTGTTTGCGAAGCGGATACCTTCCTCACCTATGCCGACTGCTTCCCCGCGACGACCAAAGCCTCCCGGCAGGATCCTCGGAAAAGCTTTGCGTCCTCCCCGACCCCAAGCTGTTCACGTGGACGAGTCGGATGAGGATCCCCTCTCCTTGTCGCAAGGTGGTGATCGTGCCGCTTCTGCTGTTCGCAGTCGTCCTCTGGATCGCTCCTCTCGCGAGGTCTCTGCAAGATCTCGTAGTGCATCCCGGAATAGTGTGACCTCTGATCGAGGGGATAACCGGGCGTCGTCTCGAAAATCAAGGAGGGATACTCTGGACGACGAGCTCCAACGCGCACACGCCTCTTTTGTCGAGCACTGTGACGAGAATCCCTTCGAGTCAGACGTATACTTGGGTGTTGGTCAGAAGAGCAAGCGGACAGGCTTCCTCGCGCACGGCGGTGCTGGAGGCATCCCAGTCTTCATGGGAGAGGGCTACGTGGAGGGTGTCGAACCAGACGACGCATCCAAGATTCCGCGCCTCGCACAGCGCACCTCCGCGAAGAGACGTCCTGGGACAGCTATTAGGCGGAAAAAATAGTTGAAAGTTGTGTTCTCACTATTGTCTCATTTCCTCTCGCATTGGTTGAGATCTTGACTTATCATTATCTATAGTGTATTCTTGTATGTTGTACCTATTCTTGGCTCCAATCTGCAACCTATCGAGAGATCACAGTCATGCAGTCGCTTGAATACCTTATATTAGCCTCAATGGCCGCATTCGTCTTCTAACTGATCAAGATATCAGTCCGCCCATTGTCGGCTGCGAGTAAATGCCACAAGTAGGCCCTTCGCATGTCGTCGCAACCCTCGCCTTGACCCGAGAAATGCAGGTCCATCACCTGCATGGCGATGTCGAACTTTCAGTCTGTGAGATCCAACTCCTTACGGTGCATTTCATGCTGATTATGTTCTATCGCCAGTTTGCCAAAGCGCTTAGAGCTAATGGAGGGGGTTCTCCGTGGTACAGTCTTGCCAAAACTGAAGCAAGGACGGTCTCCATGTCCTTTCTGCCCGCGGCGTCGGAATATAAACGGCCGGACATCTCGGCCATCCCTCGTCATTGCCTACCGCAAGCGCCCTCGGTAATTATAGTCAGCCAGGTCATTACTAGGTCTGGATGCACTTCATCAAGAACAGATGCGCATGTCTACGCTCCATATAAAGTTCGGGCCGCCGTCGTCGTGGCGTACCACTCAAGTACCACTGGTACGCTGTCTCATTCTCTTCCATTTTGGCCCGCTGCTTGCTGCGTTGATTGATCGTCCTCGAGATTTATGATATCTCTCAGCGGGCGCGGAAGGAAGGATAGGAAGACTCAGTGTCCGCTAACGTTTGTGATCGTTGGTGGGAGCATCGCGGGCCTGGCCTGCGCCTTTGCGTTGGGCAGAGCTGGGCACCGGGTTATCGTCCTCGAGAAAGGCGACGCAGAAAGCCATTCGGTGAGTCACGGAGTACCCGTCGCGGTTCCCATTGGTCCGCTCATGATTACGGCCCCGCTACACAGTCTTGTACGAGGGCCATCCGGTCCCCGCCTAACATGTCGAGGATCCTGCAGGGATGGGGGCTACACGAAAAGCTGCGACAGGTCATGGTCCGAGCGGACTGCACTGTGTTCAGGCTAGGTCCGTGCGGGCGCAACGTCACGAGGTTATCTTACACACCTGACGGAGTCTTCGAATAGGTCAAACGGGCGAGAAGATTGGTCTTTTCCGATTCCACGAGCAGATCATGCAGGCTTTGGGCGCTGAAGTGCTTTTCTTTCCCGTAAGTCTTTAGCGGCGGACGAGCAGGGTGCCATAGATCGGGCTGACGCGAGTCGCAGTACGGTCAGTTATGGCAGGAATTATACAAAGCTGCAGTCGACGTGGGGGCTTCGATCCGGTTTAACTCGACCGTGACTGGAGTCACTAGTAGCCGGGCTTCCAAACCATGCGTGGTCCTATCCGATGGGACTGAGGTCTCGGGAGACCTCGTTATCGGTGCGGATGGAAACAGCGGGATGTCTCGCCGCTGCGTTTTAGGCGGGACCGACGAGTCGGGGATTGTCGACAGACGATCTATATTCAGGTAAGGTGCGTTATGCTTTTGCTGCATAGTTGGACTTTTGAGGCTTTATTCCAGCCTCGAAGTGCCGATGAAGGAGCTAGAGGATCGAAAGGAGTTGAGAGCATTGACTGAAGCGTCCAATGTAAGAGCCCGTACCCGCCCCATGAGCAGACAGAGTTCATTGCAGACCCGAAATAGTGGGACATCTGGCTGGGAGATGGCGGGTGCATTCATGGCCATCCATCTGTGGGCACCTACTTGTATGTTTCATGATGATTCCCATTATGACTGATGACCTCCCGGCTGCAGAGCCATGGATATCAGATGAACTTTATGCTGCCTGACGCAAGTCAGGATGTGTCTGGTGAGGACTGGGAATGTCAATATCCTGTCCAAGGTATCGTGCGTCACTTGGAAGGGTATACGCCTTCGTAAGTCCTCCGCCGATACGACGGCGTCAAAAGGGATATTCACCTCCTTTGGCAGTCTGCGCGATCTAGTTTCTTGCGCGACTGGGGCTGTGTCAGTAAGATATATAAGGCGCGACAGATTATCCAGCTTCTCAGACGACAATGATACACTAATACTTGTGGGAGACGCTGCTCACAATCTACCGGTTCGTTCTGCCCTGCTCGGATCCGCTCCATGCCTAATTTGTTAATTGCCCGCGTTCACAGCCTAATTCCACCCAGAACGTGGCACTGGCGCTGGAAGACGCGACGACACTAGGGAATTTGCTCTGGCGTCTGCGATCGCAGACACAGCTGAGCATGTTTCTCGGAATATTCGACGAGCTGCGGTTACCGCGGTCGGCAGAGGTATTCAGGTCCGAGCACGAGAAGCATGAATTCCTATCTCTTCCATATGGCCCGCTACAGAAGATGCGGGACGAGGGATTGAGGATAGCTATGCAGAAAGAGTTGCTGGACTGGGATGAAGCAGACGAAGAGTATCTGAGGAGTAATTGGGAAGAGTATATCAGAATGTTCGACTACGATGCGAGTGAAGCGGTTGATGATTGGTGGTCGAAGTGGGGTTCTCTGATGGACGCGCACAGCAGCAATGGCGACTGAGTTATTGCTCGTAGTTGACATCTTCAATGCATATTTTGACGGTACCAGAGTTGGCCGTATGAATGCGTATCGCCGACTGTCACGCTAAGTAGTTGGGAGGAGTGTTGTGTTGGAGAGAAATGAACACTACCAGACAACTGGTTTGCGACGAGAGAAACCCATGTAACCAATACAACGCAGCCTCGAAGTGACTTCAAAGCTCTCACCCTGGATTGTTTGGTTGTTCTTTCAATACTACAGTATGCGACTGTCGTGGTGTTATTATTCTGTTCGTATCTGATGGGGGCTCTGTCAAATGCGAAAGTATATATTGAAAAGTTTCCTGGGAGTTCGAATTACCGGCAACTCTCTGCAATAGCAGTACTAGTCTCATAATCCATACGTCCAATTGATAAACGCGTTTCACGTATGAAGTACCCCAATACCTCAATATTTCATTCTCTTTTTAGGAGAAGGAGCCTGGAGCTCGCACCGCTACGATAATGTACAGGTTGTGGCAAGCGTTGTGGCACCGGCTTCCGTTGGGCTTCCGAGCTCTTCAAGGGGCGCCTTCCTTATGGAGCAAGCTGAAGATTACATTTTGAAAATTCGAAGCACCAAGTGGCGGTGCAGTGTACCGCCACCCTGCCACAAATCGCGATTGGGCCGATGACATCACCGGCTCTTAATCCTGCTGCAGACGGCCATGTCCAACGACCCCGCCGTTTCAGCGCACTCTGCGCACAACCCGTTCAGAGATCCGGAGACTCACTACGCGCCCCCTCCCGGAGAGCCCCCGGAACAGCCCGAAGCGCACTATGCGCCCCCGCCCGGTCCCCCGCCGGCACAGTCAGACGACGGCCAGTACCAACCGCACTACGCCCCGCCACCCGGCCCTCCTCCGCCAGACCCACTAGACCAACCCAACCCAGCCGAAGCGCCGCCGCCGTACTCGAAGACCCCCCCGGCGTTCCTCCCCGAAACCCCGGACACGCCGTTCATCACCATCACCCTGCCGCCCACGCCGCCGACCTACCGCCCGCTCGACCCGCCGCCGCCGTGCTTCTCCACCCCCTCGCCCCTCCGCGTCCACTCGCACTCGTTCGCGCCCTTCCGCGTCCCGTCCAACACCTCCCGGCTCGCGGACGGGTTCCAGCCGCTCTACCCGCCCGAGCTCCTGGGCAAACACGGGATATCGGAGGCGGACTGGGCGAGGTTCCTCGCTGACATCCGCATCACCGCGCAGCTTGCGGAGCAGGGCATGAGCGCGGTCGCGCCTTATAGGGGCACAGCGAGCGCCATTGTCATGAGGGCGGGGAACGTCGGGAGGCAGTATGATTCTGCGTTCGCGAAGACGCCGGTGGATGAGGTCAGGGGGCTGTTGCAGGTGTGGAACGAGAGTGCGTTCGAGAGGAGGAAGATGAGGGTTACTTTGGTGATCAGGGCTGACGAGACGAACAGAAGGAGGGAAGGGTATGATCTGCTTGTTGACGCGTTATAACGGACGGAGGGTACTTATAAAAGCAATGTGAAAGCACTGTGTATATGTAAGACTACAGCACGAAATTTGTCTTTGTAGCATACAGATTATTAGTATTCCGTAGCATACACGTGCAATGCATTCGGGAAAGCGCTGGCAAATCATCATCTTCAAGGGGGCGGCAGTTATCAATGTGTGTGCCCGAGGATGCTTCGGGAGACCAACTGTAGGAAGCTGGTACCAAATGGTGCCTCATATACTCTTCATCAGGTGGACTGTCTTGGTCCATCTCCCCGTCTTGCATTGCCTGCACAGTCCAAACGCACAAATGTCAGCTCGTCTCGTCAACTCCAATTACGATATCACAAACGCACCTGGACCGCACTATCAAGCCAAACCCTCAGGCCGCCACGCCGCCGCGCTTAGTCCTGTCCAATCATGCAACCACAGCGGTTTCCCATTACTCGTAGGTATATGCCTGTTTTGAGGCCCAGACCCTGGTCATCTGTCACTCAGAACGAGCCTTGACTCTGGTCCTGCATACGTCCGATCTAAGACGGGTACGCCTAGCGAAGCGAGCATACTCACCTAATCCCGCACAGCGACCAATACACCGAAGGTTATGCACACAAGCAACGCCAGCGCAAGTCCCACACCAAACAGACTTGACCGCGCGACGGGGAAGTGGCCCTGGGTCAACGCGTTCTGCACCACGAAGTACCGGCTCACGCCTGCCACGTCCTTAAGCACAAGTGTCATTCCAACTCCGGAGATGACGCGGACGTACCGATGACGAGGGTGAACAGCCCGAGCAGCATACCCGTAGCCCCCAGGGGGTGCGCGAATTGCTGCACTAGCGCGCTGTGCTGCTTTACGGAGAGGAACTGGACGAGTGCTGGGTGTATGCGTGAGCTCGTCCCGCGTGGGGTTCCGAAGTGAAGTTGAGATATTAAGGCTTACCGACGCCCATGGACGCGAGCGCGAGGCTCGTGCGCACGTACGCGAGCACCGTCCGCTCGTTCGCGAGGTGGTCCCGCGCGACGCTGCCCGAGTTCACCAGGACGAGATCCGGGTTGTACCTCCGCAGCTTCTCCCGGGCCAGTACTAATAACGGAGGCACTTTCGAGGGGGCGGTGACATCGTCAACGTTGGAAGGTGCGTCGGCGAAGGGGTTGGACAGCTCGGAGTCGGGCGTGATGATGCTGGAGGCGGCGGAGGGGGCTGTCAGGCCGTCCTCGTCCTCGAAGCTGATACGGCGCGGGGGTGGCTTGTGCGCTGCAGCTGCAGGCATGGTCGAGGGGAAGATGGGCTTGGAGAGTGTGTACTACAGCATGAGGAGGGGGTTGATATGATATAATTCGGACGGACGGTCGTCGTCACAGACGGTCGCCATAATGTGCGCCAATAACGCCATAGCAGGCCCAGGAGTACTAGTGAATTTGAGCTTCGTTCTTGACGTCCACAACATCGATATCTTCCACAAACATCTACGGGCGGCCTTTCGTGGTAAGTAGTGTCTGCCCCTATTTGAGAGCTCGTTTCTTTACGACCCCTCATACTGTCACGACTTGCTTCGAGTTCAGACGACCTAGGAACAAGCTCGGAATGCGCATGCAGCTAGTCGACGGCTCGTACTTCCAAAGCTCAGCTGTAGGGCAATGGCGACCATGGCGGCCTGTGCAATGGACGATATGCTATTCTGCCATCATCGCGTCCCTGGTCGTTCTATGGGCGAACACGAGATGATTTACACTTTCATGTTTGAGATGGGAGGCGTCTTTGGTGGCGCCGGGTGCTGGTGCGATGGATGATATGCTATCCTACCAGCGCCGTCATCGCTTTGCAAGACCAGCTCTCCTCGCCTTCCACTGAGGACTCAGGGTCTCGGGCAGCGACCCCTTCGATCGTTCTCTGCGTCCCGGGCAAAAGTTGGACCTCCGCAATAGTCGCAAGTACCAAGCGCATCGTACTATCTTTCTCTGCATCAGTCTGCGGCCAGTCGGGCAGACGTCGACCCCTCGCGATGTCACGAATACGTAGGTACGGCATCCAAGAAAGTGGGGTCAGCCTGACGTGCGTTACGACCTCAACGCGGTGCTCAGAGCCTCCTCCAGCCGCGCAGTTTTGTTCATGCGTCCATCGGACACCCGGCATGCACGCAGAGTCTCTGTTGCTCCACCGTGCAAGCGTTATATTGTGATGGACAGTTCACGCTCAGGTGCGGCAGTGAGCGATGATTGATGGACATGGACAGCTTGCCTTGGACTTCTCGAGGATCGTTGATTGGCGAGGTTAACTCTACTCTGCCTTTGATCGCCGACCGCGCATGACGAAGAGGGCTCCACTGGGATTGTTGCGCATTCCATCGGACAGCGATGAATGTCCCAAGATACTCGGGACCGACTGCTCGCTTTCTAAGGGAACGATCACACCTGGATCTGACGTCCTGCAACATGAAAGACGTTTTGTCGGTTTGCATTACAGCTGTTATGTCTTTGAGCACCTGGTATCACTTGGTACTGATTCTCGAGGATGTGGCTACCTATTTTTAGAACCGAGGTCGGACTGCGCGTTTGATGGCAAGCTACACCAAGCAAGGACAACCACAATCCGTCTCAGGGTAGAGCTCTCGACACTTGCCGGCGGTACCTCCACGGCCATCGCAGTCACGCCCGGACGTAAGCACGTTGGAGTGGAGTATCCGCTCGCTGTGATTCTTAGCAACTCTGCACTGGTGGGCTGATGGCGGTTACATTTGATGGCGCTTGAGGGAGAGGATCAATGCCATCCTCGGCCCGCGGACTTTTCCTTGAAGATAGTATGTATGCGTTTCAGAATCGAACGTTTGTGTATTCAGTCATTGTTGTTGTGGTCACCTCTGATTCGACTTTGTAGTCTACTTACTGATGCACCGAAGTTCTGAATCAATTGAATCAAACATCAGTCAAGCTTGGTGGTGTAAGTAGCCAAAGATGAATATAGCCAGACACCTGTCATACCCCGTTCCATGTTTTACCCTTGGGATCAAAAACCCGACATGATCACCTGTGTCGCGACAGCTGCGCGCTGTATTCAGTCTTCCATCAATCTTTGAGGGCGGCTGTTTATGCGCACAGGTCTCTCGCACTCGATGACGCAGAAACTACGCTCGGGCAATCTTTAAGAGTGATGGCTTGCCGCTGCCGGGTATAAGAAGGCGGCGCATTGCGAGGACTGTTCATCATCACCAGCACACTTCGCATCTCTCCCATCGAACATCAGCATACTCCTACACTTTTAGTCTTATTTCTACGAGTCCCGCCATGTTCAAGCTCTCCGCCTCCGCCGTCCTCGTCGCCCTTGCCGGCTACGCTCTCGCCCAGGAGTCCCACCAAATCGCCGTACGTCCGTGTCCAACCGTACCTCTGCGCACTCGCTCACTCACCGCATATGTAGATCACGAACAACTGCGGCTCCGGCAACCCCGTCTTCATCTACGAGGCGAACGGCACCCCGCAGGGCCCGACGACGATCAACGGCCAGGTGCTCGGCGGGATCGCCTGGATCGACGGGTTCGCGGGCGCGAACTGCCAGAACTCGGGCGTGAACTGCGGGGCCGTCGAGTTCACCCTGCGCAACGACGCGCCGAACCAGAACGCGGCGGACTTTACGCTCGAGCCGCAGCCCGAGAACGGGAACCACCAGTTGTGAGTGGCATCATCCCGGGTATTTTCTTGTTTGGAGAGGGGTGATTGAATGCGGTTACTTCTTGTAGCACGTACCCCATGTCGTTCAGCTACATTGGAGGCGGCGCTTGCGCTGGCATCAGCGACAACTGCCCGTCTGCGGGCGCGTGCCCCGACGCGTTCACCGACCCTACCAACGGCACTCCCAAGCAGTGCGTCGGCACCAACGCTGGAGTAAGCATTCCTTCCGTTCCTCACACTGAGATCGCCTTGCTAAGACGTCTCTCTCTTAGATTCAAATCACTTTCTGCTAAATACTTTCACAGTGATACTGTCTCGACGAAGTGTGTTGATGAGAGCATGAGTGTGCCACGCGGCTGGTCCTCTGTATTTATCTGATATTGTATATTGACGCATAACTCGGACTATGCTATGAGCTTGCTTTGCATTTATGCGTCTGGGGGAATCGCCACACTGAGTACGGCACGCGAGCACGCTACTCTCGAACTCACATTATCTGTCGGCTACGATAGAAAGGTACGCGGATCTGAGTGGGGGGGCACGAAGGTAATCTAATATCCCGCTTGTAAGTGAAGCATGCGTGCGTATCCCAACTCTGCCTTCATGGGTATCCTTCGTACTTGTGCTCACCGTGTTGGCTATTGATCTACTGACATTTCGAAATGTGAGGTGCCATAACTGGTGCATGCAATGCCATATGGGATGCAGTCGGAGTTTGCGTTGCCCTCAGGCAGTACACGTCTCCCATGGCCAGGCAGACCGTAATGGTACGTCTCTACGATTGCCATAATAGGGATAAACACAGCCACCTCGATAGAGGTGCCATCAGCGATCACGCCGCACATGACTGGCTGCTGTGCTGCGGGGACGTACATCGCCGCCTCGACGTGTGAGGAAACGCTTTGGTCAAGCTCATCGAGGACATCCGTACAGGGTCGTTGTAGTCCGGATCTCCCCGTCGAAAATGGAACACTGCCAGTACCAGTCCAATGCCAATCGGTCACCTGGTTTCAGCGGCTTTTGCTCGCCGGTGGGCGAAACGAAACGCAACTGCCTCAGTATTCAGTAATGCTTCTGGTGCGTGCAGTCGTGGCCAAGACTTGTCCGAACGGGAGCACAGAACCTCCATTTGTAAGAGCTCCTTGTGTACTTTCGTCCGAGACGCTCGGGTCAGGCACCTATAAAGGGCGAGGGCAGAGGCAGGTTTGTGGCATCCGCTCCCACTAGCAACGAAACCTTCGGATAATCTCATCGCCCTATTCCTACGCCTACGCCTACTTTAATCATGTTCGCACTCGCCGTCGCAGCCGCCCTCGCGCCCTTTGCCGCCGCCGTGCCTCTCGCGGGCCGCCAGACCCCCTCTTCCTGCGCGGGACTCGGAGACGCCGCCTTTGGCTCCCTGAGCAACTTCAGGCTCAACGCAGTGAACACCACCCTGCCGAACAGCGACCCCGCCGGGGCGCCCCTCGAGCCCGGTGACTACCTGAGCTCGCACGAGATCAGGCTGTCCGCTCTGGCAGTAAGTCCCTTTGTTCTTCGCCTGCTCTCTGTTTCCTGACGCTGCTCTTCGCGCAGACCGTGGCTTCCTACCCGTACCCGACCACCAACCCTACTTTGTCGCTGGTCAACGGAGGAGTCATCGCGAACGATGAGTATTCGACTGCCCTCGGCAGCCCCGCTGAGGGCGCCTTGGTTCAGTTCACCACGGACTCCCTCAGCCCGGTGACCCCCGCCGAGATTTACTGCGGCGTGGTAAGCCTTAGCCTGCTGCATATAACCTAAGCTTCAGCTGACGTGGGTCGTTTCCAGCCCGTCGATGGTGGCGCTTCCCTGCTTGCCATCAACGGTCGCACCGACGCCTTCTCCATCTGCTGGCGCACGGGCGGTAACGCCTTTGCCGAAGTCATCTACGACGCTGCAGACGGCCACACCGATTACGACTACAGCACTTGCTACCCTGTCGAGCTGCACATCGTCTCGGCTTGAGAAAATTGTCGTGGGACACACCGGGATCATGGACGTTGCCTAATCACATAGCTAGCCATTCATTTTAACATGGACTTCGTACAGTATAATGTTGCACAGCATAATGATCATCAGCAGTATCCTGCGCGTACTGTGATCATTGCCATCATTCGGCTTTTACATGAAGGTCCTCAGAGTCATAACCGTCCGGTGGTCCTTCAAATCACAAAAGTACTAGAACGCCTTCGCTCCCCTGCACCGTCACCACGCCCTTCTGCAGCGTCTCTACAACCTCCTCCCCGCTCGCAGTGCCGTTCGCATAGCTCTGCCCCGCCCACGTAACCGCAGTACTATCCTTCGAGTCCAGTCCGGGCGCCGTCATCCTCTTCACCCTCGCCTCGCACCCCTCCTTCACGTACCCGCCCAAATCCAGCGTCACCGCCGCCGCGCCCTTCTGCTCCTCCGTCGCGGTCGCGTTCCGGATCGCGAGGTTGAGCACCGCGATGCGCGCGAGCGCGGCGCCGTCCCAGATGGCGTAGACCGCGAGCTCGGGGTAGGACGGCGTCGGGATGAGCGAGAGCTGCGATTTGCCCGAGGGGCCGACTGCTTCCGTGATGAGCAGGTAGGCGACGAAGGAGGGGCTCGCGCGCGGGGCGCCGTATCTGTCTGACTCCACTGGATACCAGAGGTCGTACTGAGGAGGAGATAGTTGTGAGTTTAGCGCCGTGGTTTATAACGAAGATGAGTCGCCCACCCACGAGAAACCCGGACTGTTCGACGGGAACCCTGTTCAGCAAATACATCCACGGGAGAGAAGAGCTTGCGCTTACGAGTTGGCCTGCTGACTGCTCTGCAGCACCAGTGTAGCGCCCTGGTGGAGGTACATCCTCGAGATATTCAAGAAAGCTCCGTACAACACCGCTACAGTCGCAATGTAATCTTCAGAACTGCACCCCTGGCCGGAGTGCGGAGCCAGCACGTACTGTCAGCCAGCCACAGCGCCTGACCAAAGGTGTCCGTGACGTTCTGCTTCCCAGAGCAGGAGACCGAGCTGTACTCCCCCACGACGAATTCCTTGCCCACGGAGTGGGCCGCTGCAATTTGGGGCCTCCAGAGGTCCAAGTATGCCTTGGCGCGACGGTTTAGTGGATTGCCCGCTGTATTTAGTTGCGATTGCGACGTTACTTACGGTGATATTCCCATGGTTAATCAGGTTAGGCAGGGTAGCAATCGCGTTCCTGGCCGGATCGCACGTAGAGTATTGATATCTGACGGAAGTATCAGGTTGAGCGCGACCATCCCCGCATATGCGGTGTTATAAGAGCGCCCACGTATGCTGCGAGAAGATCTTGATGACTCCCGTGGTGTCTATCCCCTCTTCGATGGTGGACACGGTGGTCATCGGGGCTTTGGGCGTGGGGTCTTCCGCGAAGCTGCATGCCTGGAAGATGTCCTTCGGGAGCGAGAGGTTGCGTGAAAGCACGGACGTCCATCCCTATTTCCGAGGTACTCAGCACGAGTCGGCATGGCTTGTTTCTCGCGGGGACTACGTACGAGAAATTGGGCGGTATAGTCCGAGGAAGACCAGGTGCTCGGGCGCGAGCCCCCGGCGAAGTGGTCTGGCTCATTTCCCACTGTATTTCACAGATGATATTAGAACGAGTTTACCGGCCATAAGAAGTAGGCTTGTCTGACGTTCCAGGGCCCGGATCCTGTCCCACCCGACGTACTTGATGGCGGCCTGGATCTCGTCACGGGCGAACTGGATGGTGTTATTACCTAGATTGACGTCTACAACCACTTTGGAGGAGTTGGGGAATACGCCCAGAGACTCGTAGTAGGCGGGCCCGCTATGTGGAAGAGTTGACGTTCCCTCCCGACTGTCACCTATCGAGAAACGTACTAGGTAGTTTTCCATATCCCTCCGCTCTGCGTGCGGAAACGTAAGCCCGTAGCGAGTTCACGAGAAGGTGCTAGCTTACTGCGCTCTCATCAAGCTCCAAGGCAGACGCGTTGGGGCTGAACTGAGTGCTGTCGCTAGGAAATAGGTCCGGACGTCAGAGGCTACGAGGCTCAATCAGACGGTACAGTTGATTTACACTGAAATTCCTCCGGGGCGTATGTCAGGTCCGAGTCCCGTTCTCTCTACAAGTCTCTGCATGAGCTCTTGAGTCAACAAATTGGGATGCGTCGAGTTCCCTCCGAAAGAGGGGAGATACGAGAACTCTATCGACAGCGACGCGAGAGCACGGTCGAGTATCCGCGACGCATTATGAGGAGTCGACGAGATACGCGGCAGCTCTACCACTTGACTGGCGCCAACTAGCAGAACGGGTAGAGCACATAGCAGGGCCGCGAATGGTTGCTTCATGGTGGGTCGATGGTCGGGCATCGGGGGAATGCATGGTCAACTCGAAGGCGCGTATTTATACGTGAACGGTGTCCCTGGACCAAGGATATACGCTCCGTCATCACTGCAATATGAGACGGCGGGCCAGCTGCTGGTCACAAGCTGCTCGTCGTCGTCCATGCTGCGGCCCGGCGCTCCGAACTTGCCCTCCGTGGCAACATCGACGCGTCAGTCACGTGGTCGCGTTTCTCTTGCGCGAGACAGGGAGAGGAATATTACATAGGAGAGCATAGGCATTGTGGGGACTACTGGGAAGCAAGGACAACGACAAACAATATATTGCATAGTACAGCAAAATTAGAGTCCATATCATTCTTACCTACACATGCCAACGGTCTACATAAGAGTACAGCAGTATTATTCCAGCGCGTCCGTCAGACGCATACTCGTCGCCGTCATCAATCTCGTCTGGATCATAATTGTGATCAACACGTTCGTAACTTTTTTATCATCATGAACAAACACTAGAGTCGTCGAGAAAACGCATGGACAGCATAGAAACAAGCAATTAACCATATACGACAAAGCAAAAAACCTTGACAGAAGAAGAGAGGCATGGCGAGCAGGAGGATCATGCACCGAAGACGTCCTGGCCGAGCCGGATGGGCTCGATCTTCACAGGAGACGGTAGGACAGGCCCTGTAGCCCTCGAGCTTTTCTTGGTCGGCGACGCCCTGGGAGTCTTGGCTTCCCTCGGCGCCCGACCCGGCTTGCACATCCCGGACGGAGGCGGGCCCATCATCCTGGAAAGGCTCCATGGGATCTCATATCCAGCCCTGCCGGCCAAGGACATGTACCGCGCGATCTCGAGGTGCAGTGTGGGGTAGTAGACGGTGGATGCCTTACGGCCAATCTATCACAGTATTAACTCGGGACCAGCAAATATAGATGCCATCCGCTCCTTACCAGAATGATGCGCTCCAGACCCGAGAGGAACAGGTCGGTGTGGAACCTGTGAGCGGAGAGCTCATCATCCTTCGGCAGCTGCAGATCTTCTGCGGCTTTGGCAATCACATTGATCAACTTGAAATGGGTCGTCTAGATGGACCACGGCTGGTCAGTATCAGCGCGAGCCGGCGCGAACCATATTCATACCATATAGCCCATCGCTTCAAATTCTACCCCTCCAGTCATCCCACCCGGGGCCCGGGGCTTCTCTACCTTGCTCTCGTCGGTGTCTTCCAAGTTCCAGATGGTGTTGTTCTGATGACAGAATACCCAGAAGTAATCTCGGCAGATATCTGAAAGTTCTTGAAGGTACGACTTGTAGATCCTAGGCTTGTGAAGGGACTCGATGAAGGCGTGAGGTGATACGGGATTGGAAGGGGATTCGGTAGGGGGTGGCGCAGGTGTGAGGAGGATGGCGCGGATAAGGGAGAAGAACGTTTTGTGAGGTGCAGGAAGAGTAACAACGGCGCTCGAGGAGGGCGCAGACTCATCCCACGCCTCAGTACGACGGTTGATGCTGGCGGGCCCGATGGCGGGCAGAGAGGTCGAAGGGTACAGGTCGAACAAGGTCAGGAGCAGCTCCACGATCAGGTTTCGGGTACCAACTTCCCCGGGCTTCTTGTCAGAGTACAGAAGAGCGACGAGTTGCACGAATGGAGACGGGCTCGAGCTCCGAAGAGCAAAACACCCGATCGAGGATGTGGACAGCGCCTTGAAGCACCTCAGTAGCTCGTGCAAAATCTGATCGTCATGCTGTTCCTCCCTATCATCGATGTGGTTCAATCGAGCTGTTAGCGGGCAATACGCTGTATAACTAACCTCCATTCAACTTCCAGTAGTTCTCTGAGACGTGTCATCAAGGCAGAGTATCCGCCCGCTCGCAGGAAGTCTTGCGACCAACTACAAATGACATGGGCCGTGAAAAAAGGGGCTTTGGACTGTAGGAGATCAGACTCTTACGACGCGGCCTCGTTGCGTAGACAGATACGCAGTCTCTTCACAAAGTCCACCTCCAACTTGGTGCTCGACGTACTAGCAAGGGTCTTGCAGATCGCCGCCGCCGAAGGAGCAGTCGCCCCCTTATCCTTGTTCGGCTTCACAGCCGTGGGGATGGCTGGACCATGTGCCCGAGAAAGGGTGGAGAATATGTCGACAGAGCCGACGCGCGCATGGGCGCTTGGCGAGCGGGGGATATGAGCCGAACCCGACCGCGAGGCCGTCTTGACGGCGCGCCCCGCCCTGTCAGGTCCGCTCGGGAAGCTTGGACCCAGCGAGGGCGGCGGGGAGCGAGAGGAAGACGAGTCAATCGAGTCGATACTGCGCGTCCGCCGGAGTGAAGGAGGGATCGCCGGGCCGTTCGGGCCCCTGAAGGCTAGCGTCTGCGACGACTTGAGCATAGAAGCTTTGACAGACAAGTCCATTTTCTCCAGCTTGGGGCGTAGAGTCGGTGGGATCTGGAGATCATCCTGCCAAACCGATTAGAACGCGTGGTTTCACTCAGTCGCCGACGTACTAAGAGTTTGTCGAACTCTTGGTTCGTTCCGATGGTCTCCATAGGCAATCCATGCGACACCTTTCTATGTTTCGTTGCGTGTTTCTTTGGACTCGCAGGGGGGGCTTTCGCACTGGCATCTACGACAGCAGCTGGCGCGTTCTCCTTACCGCTCTCGTTGACGTTCGTCGGAGCCGCGACGATGGTGAAGTCAGAGTAAGAAACGCGCTTTCCGAGGATGCCTCTGAGCATGCTGGTCATCGCAGCAGACGGGGATGAAGTTGGTGGTTGGAAAGAAGACGACGCTCGGAGTTCGGAGTGCTCCACGGTTGCAGACTGAACCTCCGACGCGGTTCGAAATTCACGACGCGGAGATCACGTGTCTGAGTATTTGCTCCCGCTTGGCAAGCGCATGTCTTGCGGTAACGCCCGATCAGATGCTTCCGTTGAGATCTGAGATCCACATATCTGAGACCAGCGAGGCCATGGAGAGTACTTTTATTAGTCAAGAATACCATTGCTCAAGAAGACAAAGTTACATGCATACGCGTAATTACATGTCCACGTCCATCCGAGTATGTGCTGTAATGTACATCCGTGAATAAATGCAGCAAAATACGAGCCTCGACTCCTCTGGTCGAAGCTAGAACAACGCTACGCGAAGCCTCACCGCGAGCCAAGCCAGCAGTCGATAGATAGTAACAACAACAAGGAGCAGTCCTGTAAATTTCGCTACGATGCTTGAGGTTAAAACTTGATTGCGAGACGTAAAGGAGACTTAGGTCACCTGTATTCCTGTCCTTGAAGCCAAAGGTCTCTATCATCTGCTCTCCGCTCACTAGGTTCGACCATATTAGACATCACGTAGCACAGAGGTGACTGCTGAATACGCACCAGCTAGACATTCTCCGGACGCTATCTCGGCGTCAGTGCAGTTAAACTGCAACCCGGTGAACTCGTTGATGAAGGCCACCCTCCTGTACAATCACGGATTATATAGCATCCTGCCCGTATTAAACATCGGCTGTGACTCACACTTGGTATGTCAAAGCGCCAGCCCATGCAATGACTTGCAGCCATTTCGGGAGGGTCGCAGACAAGATTCCGCATGTCTGTGACATGATAGTCAAGGCAGAAGATACTATGGACACCGAAAGACCTCCGTTGATCACCCAACCTAAGCAGCGAAAGTGAGTATGATCAAGAGACTAGGAGCGGTGTCAGTGCCACATACTCGCAAAGATAATCTGTATATATCCAATGTCGTGGATCAGCCTTGTATCATTAACAGGACCAGCGGAATAATGCGTACACCGATGCTCTCGCCAAAACTCAATAAACCGAAAACGCCCACCGTGTACTCGAAATATATGCGGGCGTTCAACTGTAGGTTCATACCACCTAACATGATGATCGAATATATCTACCAGGACGATCAGTTTGCGATTTTTCATGCATGACGTAGCGCTCACCATCGATGCCACTAGCTGTATGGGTATCTCTTGAATAGTGTATGATAGAATGAAGGTTGCCGCGCTGTAACGAGACGTAGGGTTCTTATACTCTCTGCAGACGGGAAGCCTGGTAAGGTCAAGAAAGATGCGGTGCTCTGCAAGTGATTTACCTATAGAATGCGTCCCTCTCGGCTGGATAAATGGCGATGGACGCTAACATGCCTATACGAGTACTGTCAGTTCCGCATAGCACGATGTAGTACGCGACATACCGACGAAAGGCATTGCACTATTCTCGATCAGCAAGCCTATGCGGTCCTGAGCGCCAGAGGGGCCTTTGGACAGACGCAAGAAGAACAGCCAGAATAAGAGAACGAGGAAAGGCGGGTTCGCCAATCGAGCCACAAAGACATCCTGCTGCCTACGCAGATTCTTCCAACTCCTACTCAACACTATTGGCAAAGCGAAGAACCTGGACGATCTCTGCTTGTGATTACGGACCTCCGCTGGCGGACGAGGCGTCGTAGTCTCGACTTTGTGGTCTTCCAGCCGCTTCATCTCGGTTCCGGAGCGCCAGAAGTCGATAAGCTTCTCCACCCGGGCCGTTGTTTCCTTTCTGGCGAGCTCATCCCGTCGATCGACAGAAATGATATCCAAGGCAAAGTCGGCGGGATTATAATAGAGAGGCGCCACCTCGCCGGCTGATTCAAGAGTCGGTAGAAGATGGTCTTTCGGTCCAGCATACACAGTTCGGCCACCAGACAGAAGCAGCACATCATCGAACGACTTCGCCCAAATTTCCGACCGAGGCTGGTGTATCGTGACAATGACAGTTCTACCCGAAGCAGCAATCTGTCGCAAAGTGTCCATGATGCTCAAAGCGATGAAAGCATCCAAGCCACTCGTGGGCTCGTCGCAGATCAGGACCGAGGGATCGGATATGAGCTGTATTGCCAAGGACAGTCTTCTCTTCTCTCCACCGCTGATCCCTTTGACGTTCTGGACAGTCGCGATATATAACCACGGATCATATGCACCATCAGGGATGATTGCTTACCTCTCCGCCAACGATGTTATCTGCGACGGGACGGAGTCCCATCATACGGAGGACTTCCTCGGCACGTCGCAATTTGTCCTTTCGGGGCATTCCTCGCAAGTGCAGATCTGCCGCATAATGCAACGTCTCACGTATCTAGAAGATCCATCAGCACTCGGTCAGCCTACACCGGGGCAGCACTCGCCGTAAGGGCCGGAAGCAAGTAGTTATCACTTTGCTGTACAAACGCCACAAGCCCTTTCGTCGCCTCGGACATCGGCTCGCCGTTGAAGAGCACATCTCCAGTCACCTTAAACCTAGAGGAAAGGCCGGTGGCCAGCTGGCCTGAGATTACCTCAAGGAGAGAACTCTGCGTACAGGAACAAGTCAGATCCATAGGTAGCCACCTCATGTATCAAAACCGTCCGCACCTTCCCAGCACCCGACGGGCCCATGATCACTGACACTTGTCTCGGTTTGAATACAGCGCTTATATCTGACAGGATGGTCTTCCGACTCTGCCGTCCTAATAAATCGCGCTGGCTGACTTCTAATGACAAGTTGCGTAATTCCACCTGCACGGGGTCCCGCTCAGGTGGATTGATGCCCTCCGCCACCTTCTCGGCGCGTGCAGACCCGGTGTCTTTCCCAATCTGCTTTGCTGCGTGGCGGACTCCACCTGGGTGGTAGAACTGAAGGAGGCATGCCTACAGAGAAAGATGGGATTCTCCTCTTTACGGGCACTGCATGGTAGATACTCACTGCAATGACAAGGACTACAACAATGAAGCCGACCAAACCGACAGGATACACCCACAGTGGAGTGTTCAGATTAAACCGGAGGCCACGAAGGACATTATCCCCGTTGCACTGGTTTCTGCCGACAAACAAGTCAGAAGCAGTAGAAGAAAACGAAAGAACGCAAACCTTGCGGCTCCCTCGACCCCCGCACATTCAAAGTCTCTCCCCTTAAACTGAGAGATGGCGACCCAATGGTAACCATACTGGCAGCCAAGTTCCAGCGCATTCCTGGCACATAACGAGAGAACTTACAAAGTACGGGGAAAGCCAACGAGTCCAGCCGATGTATCCGGGTAAGTGGACTATTATGTATCCTGCGCTCAGCACAAACATAATCGAGAGACCGTTGGCGAGTAAAGAAGCCTCGGCAAACGGCCTAGCCATCGATCCTGCAAAAAGACCGTATGCGAAAGACGCCAGTTGTTGAAGTATATTCTGGGGGTACAATATGAGAAATGGATAATGTCGCGGATGCAACAGACTGACGTTTCCTATGAAGATGAACAGGTTCCTCGCAAGGTTATCCTTGCGGAATCCACACCTACGCAATCACGGTGAGCGTACACTCCGTCGAAAGGCTACAAAGCTCACATGAAGTAGAGAATTATGCCATACAACGATGGAGTGATGATATTGATAGGAAGAAATGCTAAGAAGTTGCTGACAACATATGGTACCACCGAGTAGAGATGATCCTTCACATCAAGATAAGTGACAGTAGGGCACAAGAGTCGTTGCGAGTGGCGTACCTCGCGTTCACGGTCGAAGACGATAAGATTACTGCATATTATAAAGATGTACAGAACGATTGAGAGATAGAAGAACGCTACTTGGCCTTGATAGTAGACCGTCTTCAGCGTCTGTATTCCGGCAGGCGTTTCCGGAGGTTTATAGAACGTTAGACCTGACCAATTTACTTCTAGGTCTTTTTTCGGGAGAGCATGTACTAAGGACATACCGGTTGCGAGTCCAATCAGGATTACCTGGAGGAGGAAGCCGAACAGTTGGCCATAATCCCGATATACATTCAGGTAAGCACGTCTCGTAAGAACTAATGTCTGCAGAACGAGTGAAGGTCGCTTATTCTTGGACTTCACACCGTCCGCATGGTCAGATGAAACGACAGACTGGTCATCGCGATCATGGACGGAGTCCAACGCGGTGCGAGTCTCCGCCGTCTTCTCCGCATAGTCCTGCCAACGCTTCACTAGGTGATTCACTTGCTCTGTCGTCCTGACCTCACTCTCTTCGTCCCTGGTGTCGATGGCGCTGATATCTATGAGGAAGTCCAGGGGATTGATCCGAGGAGGTGCGTCGAAGCCCAGTTGAGCAAACCAATTCAAGGCCTCGGCTCTGGGACCCGAATATACAACCGACCCTCGAGCGAGGAGGCAGATACGGTCGAAGAGTGGATATGCATCTGACCGAGGCTGGTGGATACTAATAATTACCGTGCGTCCGCGTCGTGCCAGAGAGGAGAGAAGCGAGAGCAAATGAAAGGCAGCGGTCGTATCCAGCCCAGTAGTACTGTGGCGAACACAGTTAGAAGCCTGTGGGGCTCCGAAGTCAACGAGGACATGCTTGTCACGTACGGTTCATCGAGCACAAGGACGCTGGGAAGTGTGACGAGAACACAGCCTATTGATAACCTGCGTATGCATTAAACTTCCTGGTTTCACAGAGAGAATGAGAAGCATGTGCACCTCCGCCGCTCTCCGCCCGATATGCCCTTCCGCAGAGCGCCTCCGACGACTGTGTCTGCTGCGTCTTTGAGACCTAACTCTGCAATCGTCTTCTCGACTATTTCTTCTCTTGCAGACGAACTGATTGATGCAGGAAGTCGCAGGTAGGCAGCAAACCTCAAAGTTTCACGCACGGTCAAGCATGGAAGCAAGAAATCGTCTTGTCGAACGAAGCCTATCACCCCTCCCAGCTTTCTGGGTACCAAGGATGTCCCCTGGGCAGCCGTCGGACACTCAACATAATTGCTACTAGATGATACTGGCCTAAAGGTGACTGAACCAGACAAGGTCTTCAAGCGACCTGATCGCTGGCCGATCGCGTTCAGCAGTGTCGTCTTGCCGCTGCCACTGCTCCCGATGCTGCAGCACATAGTTTAATCGCTTCCCATGCACTACACGTGTGAAAGATGCCAACATACATTGCCAGTACTTCTCCGGGATGGCTCTCGAGGCTGACGTTCCTCAACAACAAAGTTCTATTGCCGGCATAAGATCGGTACTTCTTGCCGAGAACGCGACTGGCTAACTTCGGAGGCAATGAAACAGGTATAGGCAGTGGAAGTGGCACACCAGCCACAGGAGCCTCCAAGGAGAGATTCTCGACATGCAGCGTGTAAGGCTGGGGTTCAGGAAGTGCTCCAAATATGCCTCCATCATCTCCGGTGTTTGATCGACCTTGGATACGGCTTCCTTCAACGTCCTGCCGGGCTGTGACCTCCGGCGTTGTTGCAGAGGCTTCAGCCATGGCGGCCAGAGGACGAAGTACGAAACGCTACAGCTGGTTGCTCCGGACGCTACACAGACATCTCGACATCACGCTCGGGCACAGAAATCTCGAAGGGATCTACGCGTCGGTGGCTGAAGCGGTAAGCGAGCTCCCTATTTCACGTGGCTCGCAAGAACGTTCTACCCGCTTTCTAAGTATCGACCATCCTGTTACCTATCTAGGCGTTTATGCACATCTAAGTAGGTAGGTATATTCTGGTAGTCCGAATACCGAGCCCGTCGCCGAGGGGGATTGGCCCCGACTAAGCTGATACACCATCACAGATGTTCAAGGGTCCTCCGGCGTACCAGAGACCGGAGGACCCTGGGTTGTTATTCCACGACATGTACTCCGCTGTATATCCTGGAGCCAAGTATCGTGTTTCGATGACTGATGATGCAACCGGGCCTTTTGACTAGCTTTCCTTTGTTCCCGCTATAGAAAATTGGTGTGGTATATTGATACATAGCAACCCTCCATCAGAGCATTTACTGGTAACACGGCTGCGAGATGACAAGAAAAAACTATGGAAACACTGGGTTTTTGCAACGGCACGGAACTCCCGATGCAAGGGGCTCTAGAGACTACAGTAGTGATAGGGTTGTGCGATTGAATGTCGAAAAAATTAAGTTAGATGTGGAAAAGAGAAGATCAGCGATATTCTGAATTTCCGGGTCTCCTGAGAGCGTTACGCAAGGAGTAAATTCAGCCCAAGTTCCCTCATGATATCGCGCCAGTCTACGGTGGACACGCCACGGGTGATGTCGCGTTGCTTCCATAGGGACTCCAACAGGGATCGTATTCTTGAAGCACTGCCGATGCCATTTGCTTCCTGATCGATAAACCATGCCCAGAAAACATCGCGGCATTGGCCATCGGATGCACAAGCCGCAAGAAACAAGGGGAATATGAGAGACCTATCGTCCGTCCGGGGTATACGTTGGAGAAGTTGGATGATATAATTTACAGAGTTGGATATGTCGGAAATACCTGAAATAAAAGCAGTCAGCACCAGGGTGGGAAAGTGGAAAACGGCAACTTGCCTGGATTACAGTCATTAAGCGTGATGTGAAGGTACAGGATAGCGCTCTCGCGGTACAGCTCAGCGACTAGACCGCCAGCATCTTGGGAATACACGGAAGGATGTGTTTGACCATCCGCAGGAAATGATGCCAGAGCTAAGGGTGAAGGAACTCGAGAACTGCCGGCGCGTGCCTGCCCTTGCTCCAGAGCCGAGGGAACACGAGGTCCTTGAAGCCATTGGCGCTCGATATCATCGCCCCGACGCACGAGCTCACGCACGCTGAGCGACCCGCGGCGGAGTTCCTGTGCTTTCCAGTGCGCCAAAGCCGAAATCTCCGCTATTGCAAGCAGCACCGCATCAGCACAGCCCGTAAACCGTTCCATGCCCAAGCTCGGGCTCGGCCGAGAAGCTGCACTGGTACCGGCCCAATAGGTAGTCCCGGCGCCCAATAGTCGACGATACAAGGACAGATACCTCGGCGGCTGCAATAGGCTCACACTGGACACGATATCCAGCCACTGGCAGATTCTTCAGCTGCAACTCGTGCAAGACTATGTGACACTCACTATTGTCGCTTTCGCAGCAAACTGGCCGAGATAGTCCATGTTCATTAAACACGCCACAGGATCCTCCGCCACGAAGATGTCACTCTGGCCGAACCAGTCGCAAGCAATCTCTAGCATGGGCGCCCAGTCGGTCGGAGGCTTGGAAAAGATTGAGAAGGATGCGAGATGTAAAGCGGCTGTTGCGTCTTTCGCGCCATAGTGACCACGAGTGAACTTCGATGTATTCAATTGATAGCACGTATGGTTGTAGAACCGCATCGCCAGAGTCGTCTGTAGGTCCGGGTTCTCTTGCTCCAGCCCTTGCGCGACACGGGAGTTGGTGTAATGCAGGCTAGCCAGGGAGCATACAGCATTAGTGACGGCGCCATGGGGCTCTTCAAGAATAGACTGGACAAACACCAGATGAATTAGAATGAGCTTGGAATAGATGAGCGACATATGGTCACTTACTTTATAAAGCGCATCCGTGAGGCGATTATCAGAGGGGAAGAACTGTAGCTTCTGAACATGCTGGAAGTAATAAAGTACGTATTCGCCTTCCACTGCATTAGCAGGTGGGACGGCATATGAGGTAAGGGCTCCGGCGGGAATTTGTGCGGCCTGTGGATATGATTGATATCGGCTGATGTCTATCCTTGATGTACCTGGCGTATGCTCCGACCTCCCATGATATAGTCCCGACGACGAGGACGGTCCGGCATGGCTGGCGGTCGGATCTTCGTATATGCCCAACGACGATATATCGGAGTCACCGCCTAAGTCACCACATGTCAAGACCGTCGAAAGATATCATGGACCGATGATCACATACTCGACGAAAAACTGTATCCTGGTGAGTGGAGGCCTTGCCCTTCTTCGTACGTGTAGTAGTCGTGAGATGCCACCAGACCGGCCGAGTGGGGAGTCAGGTCGTAGGTGTTCGGCTCCAGGTGGTGACTGAAGCTCGAAGGAGTAGTTGGCGTGCTCGCTACCGATCTGGGTATACCACGGATCATCCCTTGTCTTGCGAGTTGTGCCTTGATCTCCTCCTTGTAAGCTTTCACGGCTTGTTTATCCTGAGCGAAGGGATTATTCTAAGATGCAGCGAGAGAGAAGCAAAGCCCCGTACCTTGAGCCACTCAGGCCGTCTAGGTCCCCAACCTAAACATTTTATTTTGAGACGGAGACATGTTGCGCAAGAATCTCCTTCCCGCTGCTCGTCACATTTCTGGGGAACGGGTGAGCTGTTTGTACGAAGTAAGACGATAGCATTATTTTCCAGACGTACTTTCCGTCTTACGCGACATGTCCTACGTATTTTGGTCAGGGCATTATAAAACAAAGGATTATACCTTGGGCTTACCAGCAACCCCCCGTGCTACCTGTGGACTGGGAGCGAACTATATCCGGGCGACCTGACCTTGCGGATGGGGATCTTTGAGGACTGGGAGCTACGGTTTCCGGATCTTCGAAGCCCTGAGACATGAGCGAAGTATGTGTAATAGGTGAAGCAGTTAAAGATGGGTTCTCGGACGACGGCGAAGTGCTGCCGCTAGCAGAGGAGCTGGTACCTCTGTAACTCATGGGTCGTGTCCTACGTGTAGACAGAAACTACAGCAATTATAGCAGACGGGGCACCGTGTAAGATAGTCTAACAATGACGTTCCTTTTGAGATCAAGTGCAGAGTCGGTGTGTCCGAATACGGTAGGTTTGACGGGCAGGATCAGGCGCCGCCTGTCTCCGGACGAGATACACGGTCTTAAAGTAAGTAACAGAGCAGGTCACAATAGGCAAGTCGAACGGGTATGATGCTATCCAACATTTCGTCACCAAGGGAATGCGGGGCGTCTAAATACACCTGTAGGACGCACAGCAAATGGCACGCCTGCACTAACGTCAGTCAGTGGGCGTCTAACCACCGGAGGAGCATCTTCCGGAGGAGATACTCCCGGGAGGTTAGACGTCTACTGGCACCTCTTATCATTCTCCTTACTCTCCGGTCTTGATCTTACAGCGACAACTGCAGGACGGCTGCGAAAAGGGTCCGGCCAGGGGCTCTCTTTCATGACCAGAGAAGCACTTCTTGAGTTGTCGCTGTCAGAGATCGCCCGGCTTCTGGAGATTAATCATGGGGGCGGGTGCGTCGTGCAATCGGGTGAAGCGGCCATCAGTAAGGTTTAGAACGCTACGGGCGCCTAATGAACCCACCTTGACTTTACATAATCAGGCCGATGGGAATGGCGAATTATTTAGAATGTCGAATGGTGTGCAAGCACAAGGTTAATTAGGCAGGTAGACCGTGAGTTGAGGACACACAGAACGTCGAGACTGGGCCGCAGTGTACGTCCTGCGACGTGTGCTTGCAGGGCAGTGTGGCCGGCTGTTCCAGATGCTGTGGCACAATCCCAGCAATTGGACTAGAGCAGGTTTTGGGCGCCTACGGTGAAACACGGGCAGCCTGAGTCGTCTATCAGTTGCAATTGACTCAGGACCGTAATTGGCCGTATGTACTGACGTGTGCACCGCTCATCTGCGTGCCATCAGATCCAGAGTCGACTGCTGATGAGAGCAATGCCAAGTGGCGGTGATATTGGACTAAGCTGAGGTATACGTAGATGCATGTGAGCACTTCGGCATTCAGTAGAAATACAGGAGCAACACGAGACTTCCGAGCCGCGAGATCCAAGCAATCAGACAATCCAACGTCCTGCGCAGCGCACAGCACCAGCCATCCTTGTGCGATGCATACGAAAGTGACTTGGGAAGGCAAAGAAAGGGGAGCCGAAAGAGACATAGTCAATCAAACCAACAACAGCAAGCCCTGGTTATTTTCGTGCATAACCTCTCTCCAGTTGATCGGGTATTGCTGCTGCCATTTCGAGCCGCTCCGGCCACCGTCGTACCTGTTCATCGCATCCCGTCTGTCCCAGACAATCTGCATGACGGACTTGACCGTGCTGCAGTTCCCTATCTCAGACACCCTCTCCTGCTCCCTCAGCCGATCCAGAAGATACTCTCGGTGCGCACGGTCGTCGGTGAGACAGCCGCAGATGCAGATACTGAAGACGACGCTCCGGACGATGGAACGCAGCAGATTGCCATCAGGTGGTATCGCCTTGAGGCATTGGACAGTTTCGTCGACTGCGTTTGATATCTCCGGACAGTTGGGATAATCACCCGACAATATGGAGTGAAGGTAAAGACGTGCCGACGCCCGGAAAATATTGCAGGTCAGTCGATGCCGGTCGTCCACCGCACTCGCCGTGCCGACGAACGCAGCGCCTTGAGGCTTGAGCCGCTTCTCGATGTCTCGGCCTTGCTCTATAAGCTCGATGACGCTGAGGCGATTCTGCTTTTGTTGAGACTCTTTCCACCAGGCAAGGTAGCTGGTCTCCGCTAATGCTAGGAATGTCTGGTTGTCGCAGCCCATAGGTTTGACCATTGACAAATCCGGATCATCTTCACCCGAATCGCCCCACCGTGCGTAGAGCTCACGGTACACACCGATCAGATGTGGACATCGGATCTCGGTGATAGAGGCAAGGACATCGAACCACATAGTGGTCTTGAGGATAAAGCGTGTACCTGGCGAACAGTTCTTCAAGACGCGCTCTGGTCCACCGAAGCGTTGATCCTCCAAAATCTGTTTTGCCCAGTTCCGCGCGACGTCCAGGAAGTTCTGCCACGAGCCTCTCCCACCTTTGAACAGGAAGGACGAGATGACGATGAGACCTGCCATGATATCGCCTTCGGTCGGTGTGCGGTTTGGCCGTAACAAAGCCATCTTCACATTCTCATAGAACGCACCGTTCGACTCCAGGCCCCGCTGCTTATGAAGAGAGGAAAGGAAACATGCAGCGTTGTACGCCGAGGTGCTCCCTGACACCATCTCCATAATATTATGGAAGACGGTCTCATCGGCGAGTAGGTATTGCTGGCGAACTACGGTGTTGAAGTAGTAGTGTACCAGGTCATTATTCGGGAACGCGAGCGGTGCCATGGCCATAGAAGGAATCGTGTGTGCTGGTGGACTCGGTGAAATGTAATCATCAGGGTTCTCATGAATATCTTCTGTGCCGTAGGGATGGTGGTGGTATAACGGGCCGAACGAGCTGTATGTGGCGTAACTTCGTGCTGGCGGTGGGAGACTGCGATACGGCGCAACAGAAAAGGCGGGTTCATTATGCCCTACAGATAGAACAGGGCGTTGAGTATGTACATACAATTACACTCAATAGTATTCATTCTTACAAGATCCGGGAGAGGATGAAACAAGAGATAAGCTATTAGACGACATGGACGGTGGCATTGTCAGAGGATTCAAGATATCGGGATCGCCTGCTGTCAGGCGCCGAGGCGGACACGGAGGTGAATCGGGAGCAAGCTGTTGATGATGAATGTGTTGATGTACTTCTGCCAGTGTCAGTCGTGTGGCGCAAGTACTAGTCAAAACTAAACTCACTGCTGTGAGGGTAGGAAGAGTCCCCCGGCATGGATAGTTCGTAGTGGGGCTCAGGGTCCCGGACATGTGATGTCAGTAGATGGGACCGGTAGCCGTCATGAGAGTCGGGGGAGGACATGGATTCGGATTGGGGGCTCGACACGGACGAAGAATGGCGATGTTCATCAACGAGGCGAAGCATGGTAGGTTCTTCGTCGGGGGAGCGCGTCCCTGGGTTGGAATGACCTTTGATCATGCCATTTGAGGCGAGGAAAGACTTTATCTTCTCCCGGAAGTCGGCGACGTTCTTGGTATTCTGCACAGCGGGAGGTGAGAGTGGCACTCGACGACGTAGTCTGAGAGGTCGTACCTTGAGATAGTCGGGCCTCTTGGCCCCGAAGCCCAAACATTGTAGTCTGAGACGGACGCAAGTTTCACAATTGCCGTACTGATCCTGACGCTCGTCGCATTTCTGAAGGGGGAGACGCAGCGATAAATAGGAGAAGGGGCAGGCGGAGTTTCGTAAGCGCGTCAACGGACCTTTCTGCGTATTCTGCACGTATAGCAGCCCGACTTAGCGCGCACCGTCCCTTTAGCCTTGGGCGCTCCGGGTTTCTTGGAGGATCTAGCCGGCGACGAGATGCTCGATCTTCTCTGCCTGGCTATATCCGACATGGCAAGAGGCGAAGGGTATAAAGGAAAAAGGAAGAGAGAAAGAGATGCAATGCAGAGACCTAGCGTTGGACGGCCTTGGAGGACAGGTACTGAGGAAGGGGACGGGCTCGGGGCGTATATGTACGCGGCGAGATGAACGAGGAATGCGTGGGATAGTAATCTTAGGTGCAAAGGTTCCGGGGTCCTGCTGGCCGAAACAGGACAAAGTCAGATTGCAATTCAGTCCATTCGGGGGCGTCTAAACAGCGAGCTGCGAACCGAGTAGCCCAGAAAGGATTAGCTCGAGTCGGTTTTATGGGCGCTCAGATGGCACTGCTTTTTCGAGCCAGTGGTACCTTGAAACACGGCAAACTCCTGGGGATTTTCGTCAACACGGATACCGTCAAAATTCGTCGTAATGGTGGACATCAAGTATAGAGAGCAGCAGAATTACTTGTAGGATTTGGACCAGGGCCGTTGAATGGGTGCAGTGGCGTGATACGTCTTCCAAGGCACCGAAGGCAGCGTGTCGGACTCCGGACCTTGGCCAAGTTGCCGGAGCCACAAAAGCTGTACGCTGCGACAGCCACGTGGGACCGCTCTGGTCGGGCGCTTGTTTGGGCGCCTAGCGATGCCGCGGAGCGGTGCGACGACTCCACCGTCAGTCAATCTCCGACCACTGGAAATCCACAAACGCCCATAAGTAAGCATCCCCCAGTCGTGCACTGGCCTCGAGGACGGCCTGCAGCTAGCGCCCGAGCAGCAGCGGTCCAGCCTTTCTGTGAGTCCCAGGACCTGCCTGCAGATGCTCCGCGCCACATGATGGCGATAAGCCTCTTCTTTCCTGTCATCGCAAAGACCCCGCGTCCGCCGGAACAGCCGCGGCCTCGTTCGTGCCAACATCGGTATTGCTGATTACTATTACAGTTCAGGGTGTACACAAAAGTCCCAGTTCCATCAGCCAGCCACTTGTCATTAGGTAACCTACGAAGATGTCGCAGCCCAGAATCCGAGAACGATGGAGAATAGGCTACCGTAACGTCCGCGTACCCCAAGAAGTCCAAGAGTCGTAGTATGTAGGACCCGCGACGGGTCCGCTAAAGATCCACTATGTGACAGAAGGCTGCAGCCCCATGATTACGCCCCGTGAATGGCGGAGAGTCCAGAGTAGGGAGGTTGGGGGATAAGCGGGAGGAAATGTCAAGACGAGGAGGTGACGACAGCTTTTATGCTCTATCCGGAGCGCCCTCTTCAGGCACTGCATTCCCGACGATGCCGCCCGAGCCGGCGCTGACGCTCAAGCGCCTCGCTATGCCCCTGATACCACTGGGGCCCGATCCAGATCCCGAAGCAGCGTGCTGGATCTCGGTTCCTGTGGGCTTTGCGACACTGCTCGCCCCCGCACTCCCAGGCACTACTCCTGCGCCAGATCGACGAGCGATTAGCGCACGAACAGCGCTGAGCCATTTTATCTCTTCCTCTTCGCTGGGCGCACATAGCAGTAGAGTCCGCTTCGTTGTGACTATCTTGAAAGTGTGCTTTTTCTGCACTGCGTCGCCTTCCTCAGAGTTCACGGGCACGGTGGTCGGCGGAGACGTAACACCCGGCGGAGAGACATGTGTAGGACCGGCTCGCTGCTGAGGAAGATCATATTCGAGAGCATCCAATATTTGGGAAAGCGCGATTTGCCGATGTGGCTTCGTGTCCTATGTAGTGAATTGAATTGGACTGCGGTCAGCAACAATGATAAACGAGGACGTACCATATGGCTTCCGGAATACACTAGCTGTTCCCCGGTCAACACAAACCATCGTTTTCTCCAATTCCGCCTCTTCGAGCCGCACTTCATGAGATATCCTGAAGCAACAGGCTTGGAAGCGTCGACCGGCGCGGTCAAGGACTTATTCGGAGAGGCAAAGGTTGCACGGGTCGGGGAAGACGTCGGGAACGAGCGAGGAGCATTCGATGATGCGTCCTCAGATTCAGAAGACGTAAGGGCATGCATATGCAGAGACTGAGTAGGTGGCGAAGGCGTCAGGGGAGGCGGATAGTGGGCGTCGCTGGTGCCGCCCGTGGGGATAGGGATAGGTGCTGAGGTACCAGAATTTTTGGCGGTTGTCTGCATAAGTAACTCCCTCGCGTCCGAGATGGCCTTCACCCATCCTTGCATGTCGTCCTGGGATGAAGCCTGAAGATAGTACGTCCGTGTCGGTGAGACGAGGCCGAACGCATAGGGATGTTTCTTCAGAGCTACAGGAGTACATGCATGAACGTCGATCAGATCGAGCAGACGCAACAGCTCGTATTCGGCACTGGTTTTGTAGTACGCGAGATGGCCGGGGCGGAGAACGAACCACCTCTTCTTCCATGTCTGTTGGTCAAGCACACATGTGAACGCGGGCTACACGCAGCCGTAGCTAGCAGTAAACAAGGGAGGCACCGACCTTCCGCCGCTCGCCCTTCTTGCGCAGATATCCCGCCTTGATCACGCTCTCGTCTGTCGAGCCTTGATGTTTGCCCTTCTTATCGGCAACTGGCCATCCATCGTCATCGTCGTCATCGTCGTCGTCCGACTCTTCCCCGCTTGCTGAACGTCGCTCCGCGATGGCGCCAAGGGCAGGCTGGGTAGAACTCCCAGCAAGGACTCCTCCAGTCAAACTAGCTGATGCAGATGGAGGCGAGATATATTCGGGGACGAAAACGGATTCCGAATCCGATTCAGTTCCTGAAATAGAGACATTCGATTTCTGCAAAGGAGAGAAGTCAGACAGACAGACAGACAGACAGACAGACAGGCGGGCGTCCAGAGAGTGGCTGTTACCTTGGGTTTCGCGACGGAGTGCAGAGACAGCTTTCGCGAAACCTCTTGCGGCGATGGTGGATCTGCTGAGCGCGCAGGCATGGTCATTGTCATGTTAAGGGCCCGGCGGTGTCACGGCGCCGAGTACGAAGAACCAGCGGGAAGAAACTCTCTTGGAGATGACCAGAGCAGTGGGTGGGTGTTTGACGCAGCTCGAAGACGTGACCGCCTATTGTGACATACCGTCACTGTTACATACATAGTAGGCGCCGGTAATCTATCCTGACCACGGTGGGTAGGGAAGTTGGGATACAACGGACGCCCGTCCTCCTGATGAGAAACCGTCTCTGATGCGCAAAAATGCAGCCCATTCCTCTGGCGCCTCTTATCAAGGAAAGCTGGGAGCGCTCAAGTTTTACTAGCTGTGAAGCTGAGAGCAGGTTCGGCTACTCCCGAGAACATTGCTTGCCTAAAATGGACGCTGCTACTCGATAGTGGCGCTTGTCATCGATCTACATCCAACGAACATGTCTCAAGCTAAATTCGACAAAGCCGTTGCCATCGTGCAAAGCCTTCCCAAGGATGGGCCCATCAAGCCCTCTCAAGAGGAGCAGCTTTTCGTAAGAGTTGTCATGTTGTCCGTGATCGATCTAGGGGCTGACCTTCTGCTTAGTTCTACAAATACTATAAGCAGGGTTAGAGAGCTCGGTCTCCATTGTCCGGTCCAGTGATTCTGATGTCCATATAGCCACTCTCGGTGATTGCAATACCACCCGACCTGGGATGTTGGACTTCACTGGCAAGGCCAAATGGTACGTCCGACAATCATGGTTTTCATAGAGGAACATCCTGTAGACGGGTCGATCGGTGACGCAGGGATGCCTGGAAGAGTGTCGAAGGAACATCGAAAGAAGAGGCCATGAACAAGTATGTGGAGAAACTGTTGGAGGTAAGGCGTGAGCCTAGATTTGCGCCGACTGTGCTCTAATTTTGAACAAAACAGATTCTCAAGAAGGCCGACAACGAAGAGGCGAAGAAATTCGTGGCAGAGCTTGAAGCTGCGTAAGCTGTCTCTGACAGCATTGATGAACATGTACATGTACAAGTATCGCGATTGGAAGAATGATCCCGATTGTTTGGATAAGATACATAAGAATGCTATGCACTCCACTGGAACCTAATGTCAGGGCGGGCGCAAGGCAGTCATATGCTGCTAGCAGTTGTCCTCTGAATGTGTAGATCCGTGCAGAAAATTGTACCGGTGTGCTCGAAAAGATGGCTGAATAACTTCGCGCCCCGCGCACCACGACGTCAGCAATAACATCCCGCATATTGCGTTCTCGAAGCCTCGTACATGCTTCACAGCATTGCCACCGCAGTTCGAACCATTAAACGCGGGGGTGACTGAGGTCTGCACAGTAATGTAACCTCTCCCGCGCAGAAGCACCCAAGGATGGCGGTCCAAGTTTGCCCGATAATAGCATGTCTGTCATGGAAGAGATACTGATGGATGGAACGCTCTGCAGTGGCCATGCCTTTGGTATTGCCTTGAAAACGTGTAAGGAGAGAACCAACCTTTAGGCCACCTGCTCAGCGGCCTTGTACACCACCCGAGCTATGATCAAGCTACCCAGCTGCCACCATGCAACGACCTGTGCCTAGAGGATCCTAATACTGGATATGGATTGGCGCACTGGTCTCCTTAAGGTTGAGAACCCACTTTGTATTGCCAACCGTAGAAGTTACCTGTAGGCAACCTGGCAGACTTACAATAGACCCTGAGTCAAATCGACGCAAACCGTGCGCGTGAACACTAAGAAGCATCGACCTCGGAGATATTCAAAGCCCGCGCAATTAGGTACTTCCATGCAAGATGCGGCTCTGGAAACGAGGGAGACTTCGCACCATGACATGCGCGGATCCACTGCGCACTTTCGCGGAGAAGACTTTGTATAGCGATATTGGTGCAGCAGATGACCCCGCGGATGTAATGTGTACTGTTCGCAGAAATGTCTGTATCGGAGTAGCCTTCGCAACGATGACGGTCCAACCAGAAGGCAAGCACAGACAACCCTGGGAACTGCGCCAAGGGGTTCATAAAGGCACGCACCAGGTTAGGAACAAAAGCATGCAAGGATATGGCCTAGGTCCAGGCCTAGCGGCCTTGAGGCAAGCCATATGTCGCGGGGTCAAGTTCCAAGGACGCGTATTCAAGTCGGCTGCGAAGCGCGATCCGTCAAACGTTGGCGCTATTTCCCTGTCAAAGGAATAGTCAAGCCTTTGACCCTGATGCTCTAGGCGCGCGGGCGGAATCAACCGAAGGGCGCTGTGGCAGCCAGGGATTAGAACGACGAGAACCTGTCAATCGCATCACCAGAGGACCAATAACATATGATCATATGTGGTAAGCACCCTGGGTGTGGTGCAATATTTTATTCAGTTTCGGATTGCGCATCGAAATCAGGATATTTCTGCAGTATCAGTATTTTTTTTAACGATCCCAAGCGGGTGTCCCGTCTCCGCAGGGAAGTTGCGGCCATCATGACCGGGGGGATTGCGCCGAAAGCGCCGGTCAAGAATGCCCAGTTGGCTGCAAGTCCCCTTGACTTCCCGCTGATACATCCGACTTAACTAGAAACCAGTGCCACACGCTTACCTCGAGAGCGGGCACGTTGCAGAGAACCCTGGGGATTAGACCCGGAGACTGAAAACGTGCTGTCCACCCTGCAGCGGATCCGTTCATGGGACATGCGTTAGATAGGCTTTTATCTACGGAGGTACGGTCTCACGGCAGGAGCATGGCGATACGGTCCCTCAGATAGGGGCTGAACCGCGCCACCCCCTCCATTGGGATTGCGAGAGGTTGATGCGGTAACAGGAGGCGACAGTACCCAGGAGGGTCACTACAAAGCTCTCGGCCCGGAAACGACTCATGATCGCGACGGTGTTGACGGCAGGAGAGTCTGCCCATGACCGGTGAGACAGCATTACCTCGATCCGGATTGGGCTTGGGATAACCGCTCAATCTCCTCGAGCCCCGACACCACAGGCGGGAACGAGGCTCGTGGCTTCAGAATATTGCGACGATATTGCAGGCCAGCGATGGCGTGAAAGACGTATACTGCCAGACGGCAGCGATAAGGAAGAGGGACTCCGGGGAAGATGGAGTGGGATATGCACACTGGAGTACCAAAGGTAGACTCAAGATCGTGCATGCGGCTGAATGGTACATTGACTCCGTGGTTGACTGCTGTGTAGCAATGACGCAGGCCTGAGGCAAGGATACGGTGACTTGACAAGACTTCCTGTCAATCGACCCAAACGAGGCAAAGCCTCTGGCAGCGTTGATAAATTATGGCCCTCGTTGCTGCATCCACAGCCACAGGGTTGAGCATGCGACGGACGTGCGGGAAAACGTCCACTGTAGCCATTGGCCGTGGCTAAGGAGATGATCATGATTAGCTGATCCCGTAAGGCTCCCAGGGCAGACGGGAAAGAATGTAAGGCACATAAGAATCAAGCACGATCGCTCGAGTCTCTAGCCGACCAGAAGGTCGTTGTCCAGACTGTCCAATAGGGGGCAAACAGGGAGAAGCCGAAGGACAGAGTACGCTATGCTGGATCGACCGTAGTGCGTGGACGCCGAGGTTCACCCGATCACGATCGTTATCCGGTTTCATCGTAGACTCTGCTTTCCCCAGGAGCACCGGACGAAGAGACCTCCGAACCCTGCGCACTCTCCAAATGCGGTCTTTGGGTAGTTGTCCATGAGAACCGGAGGGGGTAGTTCCGATCACGACCCAAGTATCGACAAAGCCAGTCGGTATCAGTGATGAGATCGCCGTCACACGAGAAGGAAAGTGTGTATAATGGGACGAGTCCTTCGAAGGAGTCATCCAGGATCGTTGGTCGCGGTCGTCGGGATCACTGCGGCTTAGCACTGAGCGCTAAGATCCAGTAATAAGGCGGCCCATGACATGCTTGGAAATCGTCGACGAGAATTGATCTGGAGGGCAGCGCGCGGCATCCATACATTGCATAGCAGTATCAAGTCAGGAAGCAATGTGCTACTCACAATTAGGCCCTGTAATCACATTGGCCGCATTAGCCAGATTGCGGGACAAGGCGCAGCTACAGTTAGGACAATATAGCATTGCATCCCAGCACGATAAAAGCAGTCAGCAGTAGTAGATGCTGCGGGCCTATCGTCCCGACCCATAGCTGATCTGGTACCTAATCGTAGTCAACTCATCAATTTCTGGCATGAAGTAGATACGTACGTGGTAGGAGGGACAGAAGGATTGTGTACGGTGCGATATGCACGCACTTGGGGCTCCGAAGACCATGGAAATGATCTGTCGGCTGTAAGGTACACGTAAGCTGTCTATGAAAGATAAAAAGCATGCTCATAGCTGCACCTGCTATAGACTTGATGAGGACTGACCGGGTCAGTCACAATTAGAAGAGTGCTCCTGGAAAGCCCTCGTGCCTAAGAAGGTTAGAATCTTCACCTATATCCAACCCCTAAGACGTGCCCGAGGACAACTTAGCGTTGGGATATTGAAGCTTCACGACTGGATAGCAAGCATGGACTTGAACCAGCTGACTAGTAAGTCAGTCCAGCCGGCAGGGGTCGCAAAGAACTATCAGGATATTAGCTCCCCCACGTGCACGTGCTACTCAACACGTGCACAAGATCCTCGCTTCGAAGTGGCGGATCGCCCGGGAGAAGCCAAACTTCGAACAAAAGCAGTCTCTCAGACCTGATATAGGCTACTATAAGTCTTCTTGATCCAACCTTCAATATAAAGGGGCTCGTATGAACAAGATGGTATCAACGCCGTCTACTCACCTCCATCATGTCCTGTACCGTTTGTCGGCTGCCCTTCGTACCAGGGCCTGCATCCGCTAACCCCAGGCCGATACCGCCGGGCATCCTTAACGAAAGACAGTACAGATATTTCGCGTACGGGCTCGGGATAGGATACCAGATAATCGGAGTAGTAAACCCGGTGGAATATCTCGGTGAGTTCCCGTCGCCGTTTTGTGAGACGAACCGGTCGGTTTAGAACACAAGCTAGATTCGAACATGTTTGCAGTCCGAGCGGGCCTTCCGCTGCTGGATATGATCCAATGGGAATCGCATGGTGGCACCGTAAGTCCGTCTCACAAGTATCCGCGCGAGACAACCGCTAAGCAGTCGAAGTTCGTCATATGTCACACCGTATGTGGCGCGCTCCTTCGCCGGACGACGCATGCTGAGGAAGACTCTGTCGACTCCCTGACGGACCTTGTCGAGTTGGAACGCATCCTTGGGCGACCTCAGGCAGGCTCCCAGGCAGGACGTTTCCGGCATGTTAAATATGAAGACGTTCGCTGTGGTAAACTGAAACGTGTTGATCTGACGCCATTCTGGTTGGATGGGAATGAGGAGGGCGGTAATACCTTCGATTTTCAGTCTCTAAAAGCCAGCAATCTGGGTTTCATCCTGAATCGACCGGATACGTACGTGAATATCTCTTCGTCCGGTTTCACTGGAGTGCTTACCGTACCAGCTTTCCGAAATTCCATGAAACCGTCAATCCCGACCGGTTGAGGAGCCTCGACAATGCAACTGTAACAAAAGATGTGATCACTAACTTGCCGACGGACGTCTTGGAGTCACTTGTGATACGGATGGAAACCCCGGCTTACGTCCAGTTCGCCTCGAGTTGTCGCCTTCTGAGGCGTCATGCAGTGACGGCTTGGCAGAGGCACGCACGCTCTCGCGTTCTCGAGCTCGGCTGGGCAGTACCCCTGTCGTCGGAATACGAGCAGGGGAAAAAGCAAGGCATCGTTATGGCGAACGCAAAAGAGTCCCCGGCGGATGCAGACTGGTTGCTCTATCTGAGTCACGTTCATCGTACCCAGAGCATGAATGTTCGAGAGTGGATATGGGGTCTATGCCAGGAGATCAAACGAGCACGCGACGCACTCAGGCCAGACAGCGAAGTAGCTGAAATCGTTGTTGACGGCGAACGGAGGAAAAGTCCAAGCAGATTAGGCTTGGAGAAGCAGGTTGGGCCCATGAGTAGTATGTTCCAGCAGATTAAGCAGGCGCAGAACATGGCAAAGCAACGATGAACAGGCATGATGGACGTACGCGTATACGTAGACACCTTAGGAAGTACTTCAAGTTGGCTGTAGTAGTACTTCAGTTCTCTAAACCGATCACAGACAGTACAAGACAAGTGTCCCACATCGACACAGGATCGCAAGTGAACTGCAGTTGACGGGGACGGCAGTGACGGCACTCTCAGTCCTGATTGACACGGAACTACATAAGCGGGTGTTTGTTTGTACATGTTAAGATCTAAAGGCCTTGATACACAGAGGCAAATAAAGAATCTGAGATCTCGATCACAAATATCCCAGATTCCCAAAACACCCCCTTTTGCAGCGACTTGTGATGGCTGGTCCTGGTATACGGTTGCCCAAGCAGCTCCAGGAGCAGATAGAACAAGCAGGTGCGCATATCCAAACATGAAAGACTCCAAGCTGACCTGGAGGAAGGGACCAGCCACAGCCATCGGACACGGCACGCCAGACCGCAAATTTCTCGCAAAGAGGCCAGGAAGCAGGAGAGGCAACAGCGCAAACAGAATCGGGCTCAGTTCTTCTTGGGGCAGTCTAGCAAGCGCCAGGCTCAGGGCCCTGAGCATGAAGACGTCCCAGCTGCAAAAAAGGTTCGATTCTCCCCTTCGGACGCGCCTGTGGACGCTCGCAAGAGCCGCCCAGCGGTTGACCCCGTCTTAAAACCTGCGAGGAAAGGAAAGGAGAAGAAGGACGGGAATAACGACGGGCGTTTGTCTACAACTGCACTGGAACGCTTAGCAAGCAAGACCGACCGCAATGCGAGATCAGTTCCGCGTACTCCGCAGGAAGAACAGGAAGACGCGTACATCGCCTATCTTGAACAAAAGCTGGGCTGGAGGAAAGGGAAGGGGAAAACAGGTCTTTATGGGAGGGGCTTTGAAGACGATGGTCTCAATGGTATGTGATCCGTCCGACATTCATCTAGCCATGTTACTCACATGCATTTATCAAGATTTGCTTCTGGAGCTGGACGATTTTGACAGTTCATCTCCTGATACTGTACGTATGCCGCAATATTTCACACTCTCCCCCTGCATTGCCTGACATGAACGACAGTCGAACAAGGGGCGTAGTACTCGTACGCTCGAAAGTGACGCAGAGCTCTTGGTAGATGGGGACTCAGATAATGAAGCCAGTACCTCCGGGTCGAACGGTGACTCCGACGACAAGTCATGGCACGGTATTGAACCGGCTGAGGGCGAGGATCCGGCTGCCGAAGTGGAATTGAGGCACCCCTCAACTGAACCGGATTCAGATAAGCCTTCCCATAGTGAGCAAATTTATCTCTCACCTCCCTTGATTGACTCACATCTGCTAGGCATCCGATACGTTCCTCCTCACCTTCGTCGGTCGCAGGAGAACACCCAACAACCATCGGAAGAGATCACCAAGCTAACTCGCCTCCTGAAAGGACAGCTGAACAGGTATATCTCCTTCCTTCACCATGTGAATTTAGCTGAATGGTACCCTGCGTAGGTTGACCGAGCAGAATATTTCATCTATTGTAGACGGAATCGAAGAAATATATCGGAAACACCGGAGACATGGTCTGCTCCATATGTCTTCCGGGTGTAATCCATTACTAATCAAAGAGTCTAGACGTTACTTCTACCTTAACGAAGCTGATAATTGACGGCATAGCGTCCCACTCCATCGTGCTGGACTCATACGTCGTACTTCACGCCGCATTCGTAGCCAGCATGCACAAAATTGTCGGCAACGAATTTGGTACGCTTGAAACTGCTGCTGCGATACCTCATTATGACTCCTCCTTCCTTCAGCGGCTTATTTCACCCAGACCGTCGTATCCTCATATGAACGTTATTATCATGACACCCTGGAACAAGCCCAGGAGAACGATACGGAGACGAAAGGCAAAGAGTGCTCTAATCTGATAGTCCTCCTATCGGAACTCTACAATTTCCAAGTCGTATCGTGCATCCTTATATATGACGTTATCCGGGACCTGCTTAGCAAAGACCTCACTGAATGGAACGTGGAGCTACTACTCAAGATCGCTCGGAGTAAGCTGTCCTCTGTCGGTATTTACCTTGGCAAATGATTCTAACATAGGACAGACTCCGGTCCTCAGCTCCGCCATGATGATCCATCTGCGCTCAAAGACATCATCCAGATTGTTCAGGGCAGATTGTCTGGACAGTCGGATAACTTGAGGTAGCCATGATCCACTCGTCTAGCATAAGAATGCATACTTATGACAGTCGTAGTTCGCGTACTCGGTTCATGCTAGAGACGCTGATCAATTTGAAGAATAACAAGTTGAAAACCAACGCAGCTCCAGGCAGTGCTGAAACCATCGAGCGCCTCAAGAAATATTTGTCGGGTCTTGGTAAACGGCGACATGGTGCGTGGGATCACATTTATAGCTTGAGCGGGACTGACTTCCTCTTCTGCAGTGCTTGGGCACGAACCTCTACGGATAACGCTGGAAGACCTACATACCGCAGAGAGTAAGGGGAAATGGTGGCTCGTCGGCGCCGCATGGAACGGCAATCCTCTGGTGGATCGGCTGGATAACAGCACACCAGAATCAAAACTCGACAATACCGAAAGCACTCTGGTGAAACTGGCTCGTAAACAGGGGATGAACACGGATATCCGTCGTAGTATCTTTGTTGTCTTAATGAGCAGCGAGGTAAGGATTATTCGTTATCCGCGCTCGCCAACTTATGTTAACGCGAAACACAGGATTACCTTGATGCATGTGAACGTCTTGGACAGCTGAATTTGACGGAGGTGCAGCAGCGGGAGATCGTGCGCGTCATACTACACTGCTGTGGGAAGGTACGTCGCTGACGCGTGCCTCAGCTGCCTCGCCATGCTGATAGGATGTCTCTTCAGGAAAAGGCTTACAACCCCTTCTACACTCTGGTGTGCCAGCAGTTATGCCGTACGTCGCACTCGTACAAGATCACCCTTCAATTCTGCCTCTGGGATTTCCTTCGGGACATGGGCGAATCCAATGTCGGCGGGGCTGAGGTCATCAAGAACACGGGTGAGAATGAACCTGGATTTTCGACGGGCAAGACCATCTCCAATGCGAAAATGCAGAACATAGCCAAGGCGTACGCTTGGTGGATAGCAAAAGACTGCTGCCCTATCTCGATCCTCAAGGTACGGCTACCTACAGCATTGACAGCGTAATCGGACCTGATGGACATTCCACAGCCTGTCGACTTTACTATGCTGAAACTGCAGACGCGCACGTTCTTCAAGGAATTCTTTATCCAACTGTTTATCAGCAGTCAAGCGACCAATCCCACGGAACAAGTTGCTCCGAGGGACGCGCCATTGACTCGCAACAGGGCCGCCATTGAGCAGATTTTCATCCGCGCCACTCGGATCGAGGCCCTTGCCCTGGGATTGTTGTATTTCCTATCCGAGGCGTTCCGGCACGAGAATGAAGAGGACAGCCGGGGCAAACTGGTCAAATGGGCAGTAGATGTGGCCAAGGATACCCTGAATACCGGCATGGACATAGTGCCGAATCTCTAGGCGATTCTTCTAATTCCACGCTGTCTTCCATTACGAGCGTTTTCGGAACGCGACAGTTGAGACGATGCTACCTGTCTTGCCACCATAAGTGAACGTGGGATGTTGAATCCTAGAGCTATGGCGACGCTATGTTAATTGCGCACACTGCATACGAGAGGCGTCCACTTACTGGTACTCTAGGCCTGTTTCAGCGACCAGAAACTCAGTCTTCAACTCTTCCTCCGTGAAGTTACAGGCTATTATATTCGGGTCAGAAAGCCGTGCCATAGAATAGAGCGGAGGCTGCTTACATGTTATAAGGAAATGTCCTCCGGGTTTGAGTATACTAGCCACTCTCTTTGAATATTTCGACCTTGGTATCGTCCCGTCGGGTTTGCGTTCCATCAGAGCGATGGCGTCAAACGTCCCTTTGTCCATGAGCAGGTCCCACGCATCGGTAGCATCAATTGACGGCGGGACTTCGTTGAGAAAATCGCACAGGTTTAATGCGATGTCCCCCTTATTCTTGGAAGAGGCAATTGCCTTCGACAGCTTGACAGCATCGGGGCTATAGTCTATCCCAGCAATCCTGGCGGCATCATAGCCGTTCTCTGCCAATGCAAAGAGTAATGTTCCGTTTCCGCTGCCAATCTCCAAGATAGATGGGTTTCTGCTTGGCGGGACGTGCTCCAAAGCCCAGTCTACCATCTTTTCTATGCTTTCTTGCCCAAACCTAGGTGTCATATGTAGTGATAGCTTATCATATATCGAAGGGATCTGTGGATACCATATTTCTCCTTCATCGCCGTTCTCTGCGAAATTGGCGAGCTCCTCTTCATAAACCTGATCCCAGCTGATGAAACAATATATGTGATAGGCAAGCCCGTGTGGTTATAAAACATAATCACTCACTGTTCCTTTGTTCCAAGTTTCGAAGGCTTCAGATCCACACTGCTCATGCTGGTGGACAGACAGTTGGATGATGAGAGCAGTCCAGCGAACTTAGATTGGGCGGATCGCTTAGTAAGCAGATTTACCATCCCTGTTGGCTCGGATCCCGCCGGGAGTAGTGCTTCACAGGACCCCCGATAATCATTATAAATGCCGAGGACCCATAAGTAGACCCATTTTGTCCGGAAGAAAATCGCCGATTTTGGACCTTTTGTCCGGAAAAAAACAGGCATCACAGCGAAAAAGTGGCTCTAAAAGGCAACTGTGGCGTGGGTACGTCTAAATTTAGCTTCCCCGGCAGGTGCCGGGGTAAATATGGTGTCGAAATGGCCAAGTCTGACCAAAATGTCCGGAAAAAAATCAGGCCTGTTCTCCAGGCTCCTAGAACTAGTGTTGCTCCTGCAGTGAAGTTGCAGTGTCGCACAGTGGAGTTTTTGACACTTCAACCCGAATGAAGTGAAGTTGCAGGCGCTTCAAAGTCTTCATTGAAGTCGGAAGACCAGCCGCGGAATATCCCGTACCATTCCCACGTACATGTGGCGGAGTGACTGACTGGTCCTCATAAGACGAACTCGGGGGACATTTGTGTATACAGAGTATGTAGAAACTAATAACAATGAATCTCAGCCGTATGCGACACGACTATGTATAGTGATGTATGTACCTAATAACAATGAATCTATCGTATACTTGTCAGGTACATGTGTAGCTCAGTGTGAACACGAGACTCACCTCAGCCGTATGCGACACGACTGAGGGAAAGGAAAAGGGGAAAGGGGGAGAGCATCCGTATATACCCGAACGCGCTCGTCACAGTGAAAACGGTGAAAGTGCTTCTTCACATTGTATCCTCAACAGAGTACTCAAAAATGCACTAATAATGCCCATACCATCTGCCCGCGAATACATTTCCAAAAATTGAGTCGACACCTTGTCATATGGACTCCTGACGAATTCTTTGAGCCCAGTGCAAACTGCCAGTATGCTATGGAGGTTATCTGCCACGGCCATTCTATTATTGTCTCTGCACGGGGTATGACGCGCAGTAGATACGACTCTATGCGACTCGGACACCACTTGGACGGGGGGCGAGTACGTCTGGTGGCGCGCGCCAAGCGCGCGCTGCCATTCACGGTCAGCACGTGGTCATGATCAGACTTCAATGCAGTCTGCAAAGCCAATTCATGACGACTGTGCAGTGGGTGAAGTACATGAAACTTGAAGTGAAGTGAGACAGTCTGCAAAGTGACCTCACTGCAGGAGCAACACTACCTAGAACCATCCGTCTCGCGTCCTCGATCCTCTCTGCTAGGGCGTGTGTGAAGATGTTATCTAATATGGCTTATATAATGTTGTTTATTTATAGTTGTGTTTCCTGATTAAGCCGAACGGTGAGGATGAGGACGCTATGAGACGGCTGGCCCAACGTCTTTGCTATTGCGCCCCCGCGTAAACACGACCAAATATTACCTTTTCGAGAACAATATCATGTGACCTCCGATCCCTCCGGCCGCGCCACTAAAAATAACTGGACCCAGCCGTATTAAGTAAACGCCAATTACATTGCCATGATATTATTTTGATGTGAAAGATTTGTATTGCTTCTTTAGTCTAGTGGTTATGCGGTATGCATTGGCACCTGGAAGTCTAGAGTTCAATTCCTGCTTGTGCACAGTTTTTGATTTGTGCTTTAGGGTTAGGGTTTATTAACTTTCCTTACGGTTGCCTTTTATATTTACCTTGTCAACCACATGTATCACAGCTATATAGATTTCAATGAAATTCTATTTCGCCCCATCTATATGACCCTCTTAGTCCAGACTTGAGACACTCTTACTGGCCGGACACGCGCGCGGCGGGAAGACCGCGTTTGCCGGCATCATGTGACATTCTTCTCGATATGGTATATTTGTACATGTTTGCACGGGGGCGCAGTAAAGCTACCTCTGGCCCAACTCGTCGTCCGAGGTTTCACCGGAATTATGTAAGGTAGCTAAGCGACTAACGACGCGTCGGTTTACTGTTGGTTTATTGACGTTCGTCGACTGCCCGATTCGGATTGAGGCTTGCTCTTCGAGCATGTCCTCTGCTCGTCCGCGCATTGACGGTGTCATGGACTTAAAGATGTCCATATCAGAGTAGTGCTCTATCTGTATTATTGATGACATGCACGTTCACCAACTGCACTGGGAACATCCCAATTCAACAAACAAAACAATGAATGACTATTTACCACAACAGTCTAGATAGGGCAAGCTGCTCTGGTCTCTCTCTTTCTCTTTGCATACCAAAGCCAAAGAAGACTAGCTACACACACAATGTTATAAGGTCTCAGGCTACTCTGCAATGAATGAAGAACTTGGTGCTTGGAGTTTGCATTGTATTTAAATTAATCTATTCATCGAAGATATAGCAACAGACCCCTAGACACTCATGCATTATTGTTTCACTATCTAAGAAATGGCTTTCTATATTGCCGTCAGATTTTATCCCCGTCCCCCCGCCGTCAATGCGCGGACGAGCAGAGGACATACTCGAAGAGCAAGCCTCAATCCGAATCGGGCAGTCGACGAACATCAATAAACCAACAGTAAACCAACGCGTCATTAGTCGCTTAGCTACCTTACATAATTCCGGTGAAACCTCGGACGACGAGTTGGGCCAGCCGTCTCATACTATCATTGGGGGGGTTCTGTAAAAACTTGACAATATGACCAGCCAAGGGCTACCTTCTTCATCATTCCCTGTTATTTCACTCAGGCATCATAGTATACCTTCCTAAGTACCATCTGCAAAAAGAATGATCTCGATTCACTATGTACAGAGTAATACAGAGAGATGCCGCACACAGACGGCACTTGCGGGGAGTAATGTAAAAATGTCACGCGCGGGTAACACTATCCGATCCGCACGCATCTGTCACGCATCTGTCACGCCCTTGCATCAGCAAATTTTCCCATAACTGGTATCTGAATACCATTAGCATATAATCAATTAAAATAAGTACCGGTATTACAATATGTACCAGACTTGTGGACGGCTGGGCCAGCCATTATATTTGGATGGCACATGTTGCAAGACTCCCGCAAGAAGTACAATATGTACCAGACTTATACATATTCCAAGCTCAGGCCAGCTTGCTTTGACCCATAATCAAACTATCAGCTGTCTTTTGCTTGATATTCCAGATCCCTGGAATGAAAAGGGGGGCATTGGCTGATGAACACAATAAACAGTGTATAATTGCTCAGACTAGCTACTAGACAGGATTTGCTATGGCTAGACATTCAACACAGTACTATCTGCTGACCCATACCCTCCACACAACCCACTCAATGGAAAGCAAGCCATGTCACTACAATAAACCAGATAGGTGAGATGAGAGACATACCTGGTGCACTAGTCATCTTGTATGCGTAGAACCCGGCAGCGGTAGACCTGCAGAACAGATTAGAACACTCAGTCATCAGTCATGTCACTAAACATGAGAAACATATCTAGCAAGCATGACTCAGACTTGTCACTCCGACAATCTGAGAACCTATGAATATGGGCACACAGTAACACAGAGAAATGGCTTACCCACGACCAAGACACGCCGATACACGATGAGGGCCACTTCTAGGTCGCATCAACCCCGCCATACACGCGCTGTAGGAAGGTACTTAGGCGGTTTAAGTAGAGGCAACGGGTTCACAAAGAGAACTTACCCACGGAGAGTTATAGTAGATGGTGTTGATGCCACCATTCAGAAGCATGTGAGAGCTGTGTAAGGGCCTTAGTCGTGATACGAGGGAGAGAGGGGATGAGCAACGATGTCGAACTGCGGCGCACTTTTAAGTCAAGTTCAAAGTCCGCCATGTTGAACTTAGCACGTGAGGCGACGCGCATCAGTCAGGCGCCGGTGGTTGCTTTGTTGCTAAGGGTATATATATAGAATGATAAGATAATCCTCTGGTAAGCGTATCTCAACAGGCGGTTGGCTTATCATAAATACAAGTCTGGTATTCAGCTGGTAATGCGATTGTAGACGTGCTAAAATAACTGGAATAAGCGCCAGCCACTACCAGCCGCGGGACAATTTGCCGATGTGGGCCCTTGGAGTTCTGTAAAATCTACCATACGAGCACTTCACAAGCCTGCAGCTATTATCGGGTGGGCGCAGGAGGTTTACACATACAGGAAACACCTCCTCTAGGCAAGCCGATATATGCCGGGGCCGTGTAGGCTGGCAGATCTACCCATCAAGTGGCCATCAGACCTGTTACAGTGGGCACTTTGGATGGTGTTCAACCTCCCATACGACAAGGGGCCAATTTGAGGCAATTCTGACTTCACAGACCATCTGTATGGTATACAATGCATATACGTACCAACCCGCTAAGCTCCCTGTAGCATACTTCTCGAGATTTCGGAGTTCTGTAAAAAATCTAACTTTTACAGAACCCCCCCAATGATAGTAGCGTCCTCATCCTCACCGTTCGGCTTAATCAGGAAACACAACTATAAATAAACAACATTATATAAGCCATATTAGATAACATCTTCACACACGCCCTAGCAGAGAGGATCGAGGACGTGAGACGGATGGTTCTAGGAGCCTGCCTGTTCTCCAGAATCGGCTGATTTGTCCATAAAAAATCAGCCATTGAGGGCTCTAAAGTCCCAAAATTTGTCCGGAACCTGATCAGGCATTTATACCAATTATCAGGGTCCTTGCTTCACTCATTAGAAAGTATGCACATTGATGCCACTATGGG